AACAAAATTTAATTTTCTTTTTTTTTTAGTCAATAATATTTATTATTTAAGCTATTTTTAGCTTTCAATGAACAAATTACTGATAGCTATTAGCTAGTATGTTGTAGGTATATCCATGTTAATTGATAATATACAAAATTGATAATGTTTTGGTATAAATGCGTAAAAACCATCGTGCAATAACCTTATTTTATACCATAATAATATTTCTTTTTCTAATGTATAGGAAAATGTATTATTATATGCACGGAAATGCGGGCGTCGTCTCCGCCGCGTTGATATCGGTGACGGTGGCGACGGCCCGTGGCTGGTCTGCCACATATTATTATTCTTATAATAATTTATTATACGTCTTGTATATATAATATACATATTATCAAATATCACATAATACGATTATATGAATATGAAATAAATATATGATCACTGATTAATATTAAGTAAATTATTTTTAATTAATTGTTGAATATTGTGTTAAAATAAAAATTTACAAAAAATCCTTGACATTTTTTTTCCTTGTAATTTCCTTACATTAAGTCATTAAGAACACTATTTTATAAAATGTAAAAAAAGGCCTTTGGGGGGGATCTGACCCCCACATCCCCCCCCCTTGTATACGCCCCTGGTCCTTTTAAGAGGATGTCAGCGCATTATTTGTTTTCTCTCTCTAGCTCACGCGCAACATAGACTAAACGTATTTACGCAGAATCATTTTTCTATGTTTTTAAGTAATCCTAGAATAAAATTACCCACTACAAAAAAGATAGAGAATAATATTTTTTAGGGAATGAAATCCATTTTATATTTTATTGTTAGATATTTGACTTTGTATTCGACTTTCAAAATAAACAAACAAATATTGCAAATTTAAATTATGTTTAAATTGTTTTGAGGCAATATTTAGACAAATCGATATGTCATTCCCCCAAAAATATTACTGCATATCTTTTTTGTAACGGGTGATTATACTCTAAGATAATAGAAAGAAAAATATAAAAAAATATTGTGCGTTTTGTCTATATTGCGCGTGTGGACCAGAGAGAGAAAACCAATGGTGCGCCGACAGCCTCTTAAGTAGATTTTCTGGTAATTGTTAAGTTTATTTTTTAGTGAATTTAAGGAATTTTTGCATTTGTTTTATTGCATTTTTGTGTGCTATTTAAGTCATAAACTATCATCATGACAACCTCCTATATCTACCAATCATCATGGAGAACTAAGACTAACACAAATGCCATGGGCTGTGGGTCAACAGAATTGCATATTTTCTAAATATTGTCACTTTATTAGCAGGTCAACAACGTAGACATACAGGGTGATTTTTTTATCGTGAACCAGTTAATATCTCGGGAAGTATTAGTAATTTTAAAATAATTTTTTTTTTAAACTTTCTAGGTTTTATTATTTTACACTGTGTTACAATTTTGAAAATTTTAACTTCTTCCCTTATTTGATAAAACACTATCAACTTTCGATTTTCAAATGGCAATACCTATTTTCGATAACGAAAATCTATAAACATACTGAAAAAAAAAATTTTAACGTTTACAGAATTTAATTTGAGTTAGCCGTTTACGACTTATTAATGCTGAAATATTCGTTAAATTTACTGCTACTGGGCAATTTAACAACCCAACTGTAAAAACCAGAAGTCAAAACGAAATTTTATCTCAATTTAACAATATATTACCCATAACGGTAATAATCAATAATAACAAGATAGATAAACAATACTATAAGAAAAAAAAAAGTGTTCCATCATCACTCCCACCAGAATACCGAGTGTCAGTCATAGACAAGAATACTAAGTGTCAGTGAACGAGTGAACGACTATTATAGCCATCCGCGGCCTGCAGCAGCTAAGCTTTATCAGCTATAAAGTATAAAAACATTTTAAATTTATCATAATGGTTACATAATATAGCACTGGTTACTGATCCCTGGTATACGGTCTTATCACGTATTTGTAGATAAACGATAATAAATGCCGGTAAACTGTTTCTGAAAACATGTGGTTATTGAGTTTCCCATTATCAAATATTAAATATTAATTTTTAATTAATTATTATTCTTTGAACGTTAAACCACAGAATACGCTTTAAGTAAATTCTTAATTATGTGTATTATTTAAAATATAAATTTAAAGTTTAGGTAAGCCAATTATTCCAATGCATACCTATTATATTTTTTGATAGTGTTTTAATGTTGTATTTTGGTTAACAAATTTGTATTTAATTAAAAATATACTTCTATCCAATCAGAAATATTATTATGTATATGGGAATCAGATTTCATACTTAGCCGACAACTTTATTTGTATAATTTATTGGTAAGTTCAATCTAAAATTAATATATTAGAATTTTATTTTTTTATTAAATGATTTATACATACATATTATTGACAAATAATAACCAGGGTTAAAATATTTTAATTTTATTTCAGTGGCAATTAGTAGAGTTTACATAATTCATCAAAAAATACAGTGAACTATATGACTAGACAACTAAATTTGCTCAGAAATTAATGCAAATTCATATTGCTTTCTACTGGTACCTATCTGATGACTATAAATTAATATGGAATAAAGGAATACAATATACATACATATTTCTATATTATATTATAATCTTTCAACAAACTAAACAATCAATTACGTAAGTATGAATTGTTTTTTAATAAATAATAACCAGGGTTAAAATATTTTAATTTTATTTCAGTGGTAATTAGTAGAGTTTATATAATTAATCAAAAAATACAGTGAACTATATGACTAGACAGGTCAATTTGACCAGCAATTAATGCAAATTTACATTGCTTGCTACTGGTACCTATCTGATGACTATAAATTAATATGGAACAAAAGAATAAAATATCCATATTTTTTTACATATTATACTTATTTTAATCTTTATACAAACTAAGTAATTTATTATGTAAGTATGAATTTTTATATAAAATAAATAATTTGATGTTTATCATAATTTTTGCTTATTTTTTAGATAATTAATTTTGTTTTCTTTCAAATTTCAATTGCAATTAGTAGTACTAACTTTTAATTCAAATATCTATAACAAGATTGGATGAACAAATACAAAATGTTATTTTGGCTAGTTACAGCATAGTACAACTCACCTGATAACTTAATAAGTATGAATAAATAATTATTTTTTTCTATAGAATAAATCATTTCTATAAATAATTTAATGTTTTTTTTTAGTTGCATTCAGATAAAAAAAACAGTGCAGAATCAAAACCAACAACTACTTCTACATTTATAAAATTTATTGATGGTCACATTAACAGTTAATTGTATGTTTAAATAATTAGGTTAAGTTATTGATTTACTAATTTCCATAATTAGGGCTATGGAGTTTTTATTAAACTGAATTGGTAAATTGGAAATTTTTTTTTATATGATACCTAGTGTCATTTTTATGCAATATTAAAAGATTTTTATATCATAAAATTGTAATTAAAAAATAACATAATTTCAAAAATAAATGTAAAAGTGAATAATTTTTTAAGACATCCATAGCCCTAAAAATATGCTGTAATCTAGAGTAGATAATAAAAGTATGTTCAATGTTCATTTAATTTTTATTAATTTATCTAGGGTAGTGGACATGTTAAGTGTTAATATTTTTTATTAGTTATGACCTTACCCAAATCCTGCAAAAATTTGCACTACGGAAATTTGTTTATACTCTAGTAAAATTATTGATAACTAATGTGTTTATTGCCATTGATAATTTAGTATTGAATTAATGTCCATTATTTGGTCTATTCACACACAAGATAGTTTGATATAAAATGCAAATTATACATTATACAAAAATCCCAGAATACCTAATATTTATAAATGGAGAGTCAGGTAGGCACTATGAACAACGGGTTCTCGGCCTATAGCCCCACATCAGATTGACAATACAGGACTCAATTCCTTGATGCACAAAACATTGTAATATCAGTTTAATGTAGGTTATTTGTTGTGTCACTTTATTTGTAATCAAAAAACTTACATATTCTATTTTTTTTTTTTAGTATACTTAGATTGATTTGTAATTATTTATTTTTAATGAAATGAAAACCTTAAATGATAGGGGCGTTGTAAAAATGTCAAAATTGTTGTTCTCTAAAGTTGAAACATCCTCTAATGTTCATGGATATAATATAATATGTCTATCGTCTATAGTTATGGCTGTGGTTATGGCCCCCTAAAAAATTTAAATCCATTGTACGTTTATAACGTCCTTGGATTGTCGTGTTATCGGTAGTTTATCACTCGATTGTTCGAAAAACGAAACAACCAAACTAACCTCAAAAATTAAACTTTTGAAAAACAAACGGGTTAACGTTAACGGAATTCGCTGTTCGGACGTTTAGTATTCACTACTTACTAATTGCTAACATTAGTAAAATTATTGTTTACGTAATTTTTTTTTATCCACTCAACGCTTTTTTTTGCGATTTAGAATTCGGATTTCAGACTTAGGTTGTCATCGTCTAAACCACGTTTGCCGTTTACGTGTAGTTCGTCAAGAACGATAAGTCGTACAGTCCAAGCAGTGAGTAATATTCCATAATTAAATATTCGACTTTATTACAATGTGAACGACAATAGGTATTCAATATTTTCGTTTGCGTCTTGTACGAATCAAAATCTCGAGATAGGCACTCCGTCGAAAAATAATGATCGTCGCGTAGTTTACTTATAGGTACATGTGTTTTTTATAAAAGATGACATTATATTGTGTAGGTACCTATACAGAGTGTAACAGAAAGATATGACAGATTTGTGTAAGATTTACATGTAAATCTGTCATATCTTTCTGTTACACCCTGTATTGCCATTCTGCATTTAGTTTTTTAATAGATCGATGATGAGATATATTAGTTAAATGAGCATCGTGTTTGAAGGTGGTTTGCCCGATGTTAAATCAATGCTACTATCTGTATACATAATGCTGAAGTATTTTTTTTTCAGATTTAAGAACTACAAATGAGTACTGAATTTGTCGAAGGATGGAGAATTGCTCAGACGTTGGGCGAAGGAACATTCGGAGAGTATGTTCACATTATAATATGTACATAATTATTAGACCATATGAAATCTGTGTGCTATAATTTAGTTAACTCTGTCTTCGGTTTAATTACGGCAGTTCACTGATTTATTTGAATTGAAGTGGGATTGTTCGATTTCATTGGTTTTAGGAAAAATAAACAATGAGACAAGACGTAACCAGTGTGAACTGTAGTACCTATTGGTTATAGTTTTTTCAGTTTTGATTCTTACATGTTTAGTGTTTACATGCGCTAAATTTGCATAGGATTCTCAATTCCATATTTTTCAAAGCACTATAGGTACCTACTTTATTCCTTGGCATTTAAAAAATACAAATGTAATTAGATGATAATTAAATCTCCAAAAACATGATACCTAAGTACAATATTTTTATTTCTACTTTTAATTAAATTAATTTCTGTTTTTTTATTATTTGCTACATAGGTACCTAATATATTCAAAGCATAATATATAATCATTGTATTCATAATATGTTTTAGAGTAAAACTTTTGATAAACCGAAATACCAATGGCACTGTAGCTATGAAAACAGTTGATTTAAAAAACTTTCCTGATGCACTGATGATGGTAAAAAAGGAAGCAGCTATACATTCTCGATTGAAGCATTCAAGCATTATAAAATATTTTGGACATCGTCATAGCAAAGATCATTATTTTATATTCTTAGAATATGCATCAGGAGGTGAACTATTTGATCGAATTGGTAAGTTAATTAGTATTTATATTTTGTTAAATTGAAAGTAATAAATATTGTTTGTAACTTAGAACCAGACATTGGAATGCCTCACCCAGAAGCTAAGAAGTTTTTTAAAGAGTTGCTTGCTGGAGTTGTATGTTTTCTATTTTTAGATATAAGTTTATATCTAAACATGTTACTAATTATGTTATATTTTTCTAGGAATATTTACATAATAATGGTATTGCACATAGAGATTTGAAACCAGAAAATTTATTATTAGATGAACATGGAAATTTAAAAATAAGTGATTTTGGACTAGCAACTTTATTTTTATGTGGTGGAAAAGTAGGTAATATTTATTTTATACGTGTTTCTTTTCATGTGAATCAGCTAATATATAAAATTAAAAAAATATATTAATATAATAAAATGTGGTATAGATTGTAGATTGCATTTAAAAAAAAAAAAATAAATAATAATAACCTATTTATTATTAATGTTCACATTTAAAGAGTCATTTTGTGCTTATATTTTTTTTTTTTTTGTAATACCCATTAAAATAATTTAACGTATTATATTGATTTAATTTAAATAGAGGCGTAAACTTGAAAAGAGGTGTGGAACTCGACCTTATTTAGCTCCTGAAGTTCTGTCACAGTTACCTTATCAAGCTGAACCTTCTGATATTTGGTCATGTGGTATCATACTCGTTTCTATGCTTGCTGGAGGTAATTATTTTGAATAAACACTAACAAATTACTTACATTAATTCACTAATATACTATGGTAATTCATTAATGTGTCAATGTTGATCTCTTTGGTACTTTAGCTGTAGGTACATTTTAAAGAGACGCCCTAAAGCTTCTGTACCAATGTTATTGGCAATTGATACTTCACCTATATTTTTTATAGTTAATACCTAATTTTAATTAGAATATTAATTAATAATTATACAGTGTGTTCCGCATAGAACAATATACCTTACAGACTACCTCAAATTAAATTCTGATATTTTGCTAAAAGTAAGGAATGCTAAAATATATATTTTTAAAAAATTTAGATTTTTAATTTTAAAAGTTGACTAAGTTAAATTTTGAAACAATTTTGATTTGTATTGTAGCAAAAAAATAATATCTTGCACTAGTGTCCATTTAGTTAAAAGAACCTTTTGGCGGAGACCAATTTATGTCCAATTCTAATTGGCATAATCCGTCGATCACATATCTGTTCAGTAATAATCCCATCCACCACTGCAGAGAAATATTGTTACCGTAAATTGATCTAATTAATTTTTATTTGTTATAACTCGGGCAATTTTTAAGGTACAAAAACATAACATAATATCCAAAATATGTATTTCTAAATCTATAAAGTATAATATTTTAGTATTTTCTGTTATAACCAAAATTCCAAGTAATAATTATGTCTGTTACATCTTAAGTGGAGCACACTGTAATTCTACATATAATTTTATTTAGTTATCTTTTGGTTAAATTCAAACACAATATTAATAGTATTAATATTGTGTATAACATTAAAATTTAAAGTAAATTTATTACTTAAGATTTACTTAAAACTTAAATACTTCAGATTTCTTTTTTATGAATGGATACATTTACTATGCATTTTTCAATAGCAACAAAATTAATTTCCAATCTTTATTTTTGTTATATTACACAGAAAGATCTAAATATTTATAGATATAATAGAAGTATTAAAAAAATTGACTAAAAGCCATAACTAAACACAATTATTTATGTATCAGTTAATAACATTTCCTAAACTGTAATTAAATTAATATAATATACATATTATATGAATGTAATTAACAACTAAATTATGAATTTTTATGAATTTAGAGTTACCTTGGGAAATGCCGTCAGTTGATGATGAAGATTATAAATTATGGAAGACTACTGATTATGCTAGTCATTCACCGTGGTGCAAATTAGATACCTTAGCTTTGTCGCTTGTAAGAAAAATATTGATACCAACGCCGTCCAGAAGATATGATATATCACAAATTCAATCTCATAATTGGTTCACTAAGTCAAAAACATGTGGTACATTTTTATTTAATCAAGCTAATTACTTAAGACAGAATCTAATACACATTCAGGTACCAAGTGATTTCTGAGTAATTAAACAACATCAGTCATCTCTGGGTATCTTAACTCTGTGTTAGAATAATTATTTTCAATAGTACTTTGAGATATATTGAATATTCTTTTTAATTAATAATAATACAATACTATTATGTTTATTTAGCCAACAAGAAAGTGGGCATTTCTGTTTTGTCCGATAGAGGGTTTGACGATGCTCGTCCATGTTATTCTCAACCCGCTCCAGCAGCCGTGCCATTTTCTGTATCTATTCCACCAAATGAATCCGATATACATTCATTTACCCAGCCTACTCAGGTTGAAGATTTGTTGCTGTCATCGCAAATTCAGACATCACAAACAGTATCTACTACATTAAACGTAATTAATTCATTTTAAGTACAAAAAAAATTTTTTTATACAATTTTAACTGTTATTTTTTAGAATTCTATTCAGAAATTAGTCAAGAGAATGACAAGATTTATTGTTTGTTTATCGTCTGATGAAGCATTAGCCACTCTGTCGCAGTTTCTTGATGATTTGGGTTATACATGTAAAATCAATACTTCTGGTTTGGTAAGTAATTAAAATAGATTTTAAAATAACAGAAATAAAAAATTTCATTTGACTCTAGGTTACAATTACCACTGCTGATCAGCGGTTAGTGTTTAAATCTAATGTGATTCCAATGAATCATCAGACTCTCATGGACTTCAGACTTTCAAGAGGTTGTGGCTTAGAATTTAAAAGACATTTCGTTGCCATTAAAAATGCAATGTCAAAATTGATATCCAAAGGTCCGATGATGTGGCCTGTTGCTATGGCAACCAATACAGTACCATGAGCCACAAATATTTATCATATTTAATATTATATAGAAGATTATCAAGACTGATGTATAAAACATAATTTATTAATACATAGGTATGACTTTGTACAAAGTAGATCAATCTTTGCAAAAGTAATTTATTTTAAAAGAACGTGTACAACTATATGTACGAGTATGTGTAACAACTAACAATACAGATTTATATTATTTTGTCCTTATTATATTTTTTTACGGTAAATTACTATGAATTATAATGCAAACTACAATAGTACAGGATGATACAATGTATACCATGTTGTGGTGTTCATCTAATATTTTATATTTATGTTACGACCAATAGCCTTAAAAAATGACAATAATATATTTATTTAATTTTAAATGCCATTTTTTTTATACTGTGCACTTTAAATGGTAATTACAACCATGGTTATGATGGTTACTACTGTGATTGTATCATACTTCAATTTTGTAAATTTATAAAATATTTTTTTTTTTTTGTACATTCTTTCAACAGTATATTATAATTGAGAACTAATTAATACCACGTTTTTAATTAATTACTCTGTAAATAATCTGTTGTTTTAATTTATTGAATTGCTTGTACGTTATTCCAAATTCATATTGTGTTGGAACTATTTATTTGATAACGATATCAATAATTCATATTATATAGCGCATTGTTATGCTGTTGTAAGACAAATTCCTAACAACACTTTAAGGTATAGCATATTTTATTTAAATATAAACCAATTTCAATAAATTCAAATTTATTGAAATCTCTATTTAAAACCAACTGTAACGTAATATAATTGAAACCCAAATCATAAGGCAATAACTTGTAAGACGTTACACACTTTTGTTGAAATAATTGAGTGATGTAAGCAATGTAAGTCGGTATATTATGGCTAGGGTTAGGATATTTATGCACTAAAAAATGTATGAATATGTATGCACTTTTGCACTAAAAATCAACTAAATATGCATGAACAATTTAAAAAATATGCATTAAAAAATAAAGATATTTTCTCTGTTCGCAGTTTTAAGATAAGTTTTGACTGTGACAATTGACGAAGCTTATCGAAAATTCTATTTAAGTAGGTACCTTTATATTATTTACTCTGAATAGGTAAAACCATAATATTGAATTCTCAACAATAAATAAGTGATAAATGATAATATGTGAAATACAGATAATCAGTGGTTGAATTGGGGGGGACGCGGGGGGACGGAGTCCAACTTCTATTTCTAAAATATTTTAGCGTACCCCTTCTAATTTCAAGAATTGATAAGACATTTAAATGTTGGGGGGACGCACAAATGTTTTATACTTTTGCATACCCCTTCTATTTTTTTTCCAATTCAAGCACTGCAGATAATCAAACTTATATAAGATTCAGTAAAATATAAAATTACAGTGTTTTTCAGCATTTTGCATCGAAAACCGTCAAATATGCGCTTAAAAACAGAAAAAAACACAAATTATGCACTTTTTTAAAAAAATGGTAAAATATGCAATTATATGCAAAATAAAATTATGATATTTTGAATATAAATATCATGAAACATATTTCTGTATAAGAATGGATGCTATTGGACAACCTAAAAAAAAATATGCAAAATCATAAACATCCTAACCCTAATTATGGCGATTGTGTTTATACAATTTTTCATTAACCTATTTCTGTGTAATTTAAAATTAATTTTTGATCAAACGACTTAACAACATTATTAGATATACCAGATTCACAAAACCGGTAAAACAAACAAAAATTATTCAATGTTCAGTTAGATTTTATAAAGATCATAAGACTAATCCAAATATTTTGTATTTACCGTTATAATAATAATCATTTGATCGCACTTGAATTAGTTAGGTTTGACATTGATCCAATTCATACTGGAGGATTTCAATAGAAATGATAAAAAAAAAAATTTCAGGATTTATGTACTGAAAATGTATGCAGAAGTTTTATTGTTGTGATGTGGTAATGATTGTTTTAGTCAAATAAAAAATAAGCTGGCGGTTTAAATTCTATGAAATAAAAATAACAATAATTACGGTCTTCAGACATAAAACGTATTTAATTGTTCCTGTAAAAATATTTACAAGATAGTAGTAGTGCACTGGTGCCATTGACTAATTAATGGTCTACACTCTACACAATTGATAAGAATACCAATTATTAATAAATTTACAAAAACAAGTTAACATGATCAATATAATATTATAATATAGGTTATAATTATTTGATTTATAAAAAATAAATACATTTCACAAACATGGGCTACGAGCACTGATTACTATGGAATATAATATAATCATAATTCCTAATTATAAATATTTATAATCATCTCTTACAAATAAACCTATAATAATCAGTAACAACTAACAATATGCTACGGTATTTAATCATGAAAAATGACCATACTAGTTTTTTTTTTTTTTTTTTAACAACAGTTTCTTTTTATATTGGACAATTAATTTCTTAATTATGTTGTGTAATTAACATTAATTCTTTGGTATTGGCTGAGTAATGTAAAAAACTATATTTTACATAAATTGTTATTTGAACTATTATCAAACAGTTTTTTATTTGATATAAAATATTATATATTTTTTATATTATTGTTTTGTTATTTGTATTGGTAAAAAAACAAATCATAAACAATGTTTTAACAAAGAAAATTATTCAGTCTGAACAACCTTGGGAATGTATATGGCACGAAATAATTGCGTAAAACAAATAATAATGTTAAAATTTGTGTATCCGTTTTACATAATAGGTATTTAATATTTTGTACAAATTATTTGGCAAAACTGGTTACAATATTAACAGATCATAGAAAACTATAGTAACAACTAACAATATAACAGTAATTATTTATTTCCAGTGTTTGATAAAATATTTAAATATTTTTATCTTAAAAAAGGATCTGTGTTGTGAAAAACACATCATATCAGCTTTGGCACGTATATTAAATAAGTGTACTTTAAATTAACAGTTAATAATGTTATTAGGAATTATTAATATTCCTTACGATTTTATAATATAATATTTTAATATTTATTACTTCTATTTACTCTAACTCTAACTAATTACTAATTTTGATCTAACGAAGTCTCACTAAAAAAAAAAAAAGCACCTAACAATATAAATGCAATAAATGCAGGAAGCAAAATCAAAAGTCGAAACAAGAAATAATTTATATAGACGAACAGCGAGCAGTCAAAGATCATCATAAATATTCTGGTGCTACAGATCTGGTTGGATATATTTATAATAGTTGTGGTCTGAAAATACTAAGGATTGCTCATTGTAGAATCATGTCTGGTTTTTCCTACCCCAGCATCATCGCTTCCCCTAAGCATTTTCTGACTTAAATGCATTGTTTGATTGAAATCTATTGCTGTATAACTTGGTATCTCTGTAGGGGAAGTGGGCAATGATTCACTCTTCCTTTTAGGTGTGCAAGCAGCTATTTCCACTTCAGTATAAGTGGGAGTATCTTTGGGTAACTCAAATGGGTCATTGAACAAATCATCGTCTTCTTCGTTATCGTTCAACATGTTTACATATGAACTCCTTGGTAAAAATGCAGTATCTGGGTCCAGCATGAGATCTGGAGGTTGGAAGTTGTTGTTTGACTCGCTACTAAACCTTATTCCGTTGAAATTGAATTCATCGTAAACTTTTTCAATTGTATGTGTACTTGTATACGACTGGCCAGAATAATTACGTACTTCAGAAGCGAGGTCGTTGACTGGATCTGTTCCACTTTCAATCTAAAATACGTGATTTTTTTTTTAATTTAATGATATATATCGATATAACATATTAATATTGTTTTATCAGATATTCATGCGTTAATGACAGTGCCATTCAACAAGTTTTTAGAACGCTTAAACCTTGACTTTTGTATTAAATATGATTTATTATATAAACCGTAACTCACAAGAGAATGAAAACCTATGAATTCTCTACAAACAGCATTTTGTTATAAATTAATAAGTCACTCCAGGCGTTCAATGTTATATTTTTCTCTCTTAATTTTGTTTGGATGTTTAGTTAATTTTTAATTATCGAGAAGTAAACGAGTAATAGGTTTATATTGACATACTTAATATTTAATAATAATATTATATTCAAAGTTTTTTTTAATCGTACCTGTAATTTTTCTTTGACTGCGTTAAAAATATTTTTAGCGTCTTTACTTCTGAACGCAAATATTCCTTGGCCGAACGGAGACGCACGGCCGGCTTCAAAGCAAAACATGAAATCTTCATATCCATAACGGCGAATCGTGCTCAACGGCCATATAATCGATGGTTCTCCGCTTTTATGCAATATCAGGTTGCTGGTGGCGATTTCCATTTGGCCATGGTATTTTTCTTTGCCATTGTCGTCTATGTTTATGACCTGCGAAGGAGGTACGTTAATGATATTTAATGATATTCGTAAACGACTGGTCGAGACCGCTGATTTAGCTATGGGTACACACTCACTTTGAAGAAAAAAGGTGGCAGAGTTTTTCTGCTGCTGTAAACACAGCCCATTGTCACAATTGCATAGCTCGGGTAACACAAATTTTAAACTAGACCTATCCCCCGGCGGTGGTTACCTATTACGACGAGTTGATTAATTGGGAGAGAAAAAAAAAAAAGAAGAACGAAATTAACAATAACAGACGACTCGTCGGGAGTAGACAGCAAGTATTGTTGACTGCAGAGGACAGAGCACCACCACCACTACACCGGTGTTTACTGTTTTTAATCTATGCCCTATGGTGTAGTTGTAGACCTCTATAGACCAGGGGTCTCCAACCTGTGGGCCGGTCCGCCAAGCCAATCGATGTTTTAGAAAATAATATTATATTATTAATAATTGTTTTTTTGATTTGTTAGTTATTGAATAAAAATTTATAAATACTGTGCGTCTGTGCCACGGACTAAGATATAACTAATATAACTTATATCTTAGTCCGTGGTCTGTGCTAATAGAAAAACAAATATTTTGATAGCGTTATCGTTGTTACGGCGTCGATCGTTAACTCTTATCAGCTGACCCGGGCGCATATTACCATTCTGCCACGGCCATATAGATCTATATGGCCGTGCATTATGCACACGAAATAAAACCCATGATTAAATCCTGCCTTCTGATTGGTTTACACATTTGGTGGGAAAATTTAAATTATTATGATATAATAATATATACCTTTGTAAGGGCCAAGGTACCTAACCTTATTTTAAGCAGGCAACTTAAATACTTATAGGTATTTATTTTTGCTATACTTTATCAACTGACATTATATTGATTTATTACAATAGTCTTATATAATATAACGTTCATTATTTAATGTATTTATGCATTCATTTTGTGTAGGTACACATATTTAATACAAGTTCTAACATAACATCCTTTAAAAATATTAAAATATTATATCGTATATTAAGTTTGGTACCTATAGCTACATTCTGGAAATAGACAATGGTGTCTTTGTTATTGCACATATTTTGAAACTAAAAAAAGTAATAACTTTAAGAAACACATTTTAACATACCCATTCTAATTTGTCCTAGACAAAAGATATTTAAATCTTAAACTTTTTTTTTTTAAACATTTATTTCATAACCATGTAGTAGACATATTTATTTTAAACCCCCAATTGATAAACCTAAGCAAGATAAAACACAAACAATTTTTATTCATATTAGGTAGGTACTATTAAACGGTGACCCGTCAAAATATCTCCATTAAAAATATCTCCGTCAAAATATCTCTACCAAAATATCTCCAGTATAAAATATCTCCGTCAAAATGATCTCCAATACAAAATATCTCCCGATTTATATTTATCAATTTTTTGTTCCATCGTATAAAACCGTTTTTCCGCCATCACTCGAGATTCTCCCAGCTGCCTTACATTTTCTTTAAACGGTAATTCTAATGTGAATCGACCATTCTCCTCTCTCCGATAGGTGTTTAGAAAATGTTCTTCACATCTTTTTTCTTCCGTTGAAAACCCTTGAACTGGCGACGACCGTACAACCTCTTCTAGCTCCCAGAATTTTCGAACTTGCCTTTGGATTGGATCGAGTGTGCTTGCTGTCGCCGACAAACAGTGCATTGGGTTTGTAGAAGTTATATGCCCTGACAAAATCCAACCAAAAACTGTTTTTTGCCAAATGGCATCAGTGCCTGCGGGTCTAATTTGTCCAATACATAGAAGTCGAAAGAACACTTGAGTTCCCACAATCATATCGATTTTCCGCGTTGAACATACATCCGGATTTGCGTATTCTTTGCTGTTAATCACCTTCATTGTGTTTTCTTCGGGATATACTGTAGGTAGTGTACCTGCCACGTTCTGCATTATAAAAAACTGAAGACTGGCTTCGAACGCGTTTAATCTGGATTTTATGCTAGCCGTAATTTCACCAATTGGTGTACATGAGTTCCCGGAGACGCCACGAATTGTAATGTTTGCCGATTTTATAGGATAACCAAGTTTCGTAGCTAATTTTAACAAATTTTAAAGGCATATTTAGGTAATAGCACGTAACACAAACCAATGTCACGCAGTGTCAGTGTGTGACACAGTTCCGGCTCTCTCGTCTAAATTTGTGTCTATCGATTAGGTTAATCAAATAAAATTACCTATCTGCAACTTAATCTGTATTGGTAAGCGCCAAGCGGACCATGATAGGGAAGTACAAAGTACACTCAGTATCAGCGTCAATAACATTTTTTCTATAAGATGGCTATGGAATAAATCGGGAGATATTTTGTATTGGAGATCATTTTGACGGAGATATTTTTAATGGAGATATTTTGTCGTATAACCCTATTAAACTACTATTATTTGAATAAGTATGTACGCTATTTTGTTTTTGTTTTTGATGATAATAATATGCATTTTATTCAATAATGAACGTTATATTATATAAGACTATTGTAATAAATCAATATAATGTCAGTTGATGAAGTATAGCAAAAATAAATACCTATAAGTATTTAAGTTGCCTGCTTAAAATAAGGTTAGGTACCTTGGCCCTTACAAAGGTAAAAAAACATTACCTATATCATATAATAATAGAAATAATAATTCATAACTTATATGCATATTATTATCATCATTAATCATTATAATATAATATTATATACTATTTGTTATAATCATTAATAATTTAAATTTTCCCACCAAATGTGTAAACCAATCAGAAGGCAGGATTTAATCATGGGTTTTATTTCGTGTGCAGAATGGTAATATGCGACCCGGGCTGTTTACCCCCTCCCCCCCGCAAAACCATTACAAAATGGATAAATAATAATATTAAATTATGTATTTACAAACGTTTGAAACTATAAACAATGTATAATAGGTGGTAATACCGAAGAAATGTTTTAGGGTATTTTTTTTTACTTTGATGAACCCACCCGCAAATTTTAAATCTCTGTCCACTGCAATAGATGGGAAGAATTTAGAATGTTCAACTTTGAGCACCGAGCACCGAGCACAGGTATTTTTCATACGTTTTAGACCAATAAGCGGTGGTAAACTATGTATTGGAGGTTAGGAATGTCCGATTTTATTTCGTATGCAATAGGGATAAACTCTTTGACGAAATACCTAAGGTTTTTAGGAAGTTGATTTTCAATATTCGATTTTAAAGGACCTTAAAATAACTTTTTTTTATTTCAAAAATCCCATGCCATAATTGCATTACCTACATTTGTATTTAATTTGGGCCTTTGGGCACATATGATTTTAAATCAAAAAACTGATCCCCAAATTGCATCATATGGTCTAGAAGCTTATGAATTCGACCATTTTTTCGAAATTACAATAGGACTTCGTGGAAGTATAATTAATTTACTATCTCTTTAAGCAGTTTTTATATTAGGTACCTACCTATTGCAAACAAGAATATTATATTTAATTTTTCGAGAAGTATTGACATGTGCGGGCGCGTTCGAGAGTTACATACCACGAGGCGGTTGCCACCTTACAGGGCCGAATTGGTTAGGCGAGCTACAGAGAAAATCTCGGTCGGCCGCTTAAAGTTCGAGCCGGTCGTGTGAGTGTGAGTGAAAATAAATTTATGTTAAAAATACGATTGGCCACCTATAAGCTCGTAATAATTATAGACGTGATTTTGGTCCACTGAATATGTAAATAGGCAGCTTAGAAGTGAAAATCTCGACGGGCCGATAAATACCAATCCGGCCCTAATATTATATATATTACCTATCCAGTGTTTGGAAGGAACAGGTTCCAAAAGAAACGAATTCCTTTTTATGAAAAAAAGAACGAGTTTTTTCAAGGAAAAATAATAAAATTTTTCGTTCCTTTCTAGTTCCAATAATTTACACAGATATGTAAATACCTGATTGAAATTAACATATTATATAATTTTTAATGTGTATAATGTACCTAAAGGTATTGCCAATTGGTGAACGTTATACTTATCGAGTATCGACGTTAATAATTACTCATAACTCATTACTCATTATAGTCCCTTTATTAATATTTCTTATAGTTATAAGTTATACTTTATATAGAAATGAGAACCTATTAATTATTATATTGTATAATTATTTATAACAATAAAGATAAACAATAAGGCAGTCGACGTAAGTCAGCGGTCAGCCAACAATTTAATTTTTAAATTAAATCTCAAAATAGAATTATAAAATATGTACCTACTTGTAGGTATCACTGAACTCCATACAGTAACACATAACACAGTATACAGGTAGGTATATATATTAAAAAAATTTGCTTATGACAAAAAAAACATTACCTCATGATTAAACAAGAATTTTCATTTTATTTGGAACTGAAGGAGGTACTCGTTCATTTTCCAAAGGAACGACAAATAAATGATTTTTTTTTTAAGGAACAAGGAACGGAACGAATTATTTTTTATAAGGAGCTTGCCAAACACTGATATTAGGTATGACGGTTGCCTGTCGCAGCATTACATCGATTCCCGGAAACACAAACTAATAATCATTTATTTTACACATAGACGTACCTAGTTCAAGTCATGTGAATTGCCTAAATATTACTCCTCGAAACTAGTGATCAAAACAAGACCTAGACTCGTGCAAAACTCTTGCTATTTTCACAAAATATATCAAGAAAAAAACTAAATACCTGTTATAGCTTTGTGTAGGTTTTTTGCTATGATCTCTAAGATGAAACTTAAGTCCAATTTTATTATAATATAGTATATTAATAATCATAGGCGCAACTAGGGGGGTGCTTGGGGGTGCTTCAGCACCCCCAAACTTTAATTTAGCACCCCCAGTTCCAAAACAGCAAAAATTGAAAAATCATATGAAAAAAATAGTTTTTTTTAGCTTAACTTAATGTTTTTTTTTTTATTTCTTCGTTTTTAGCAGAAACACAAATTATTGTTTGTAATGATTATAGGTACCTATATCAAATATTTGAATTTAGAATTCTTCAAATTTTTTTGTAAATTTTCTGTTAGAAATTTATAAAAGTTTTTCCTTTCATAGCTAACATTATAAATGTTGATAGAAGACTCCTCACAATTGGTGCTATCTTAAATAAAAAAAAAAAAGTTTACTGGAAAGTAACATACTTTTTTATGAGCGTTTGAATCTAAAATGTGTACAACATTGAACTTTCAATTTTATCAGTAAATTAACGAAATTTCATCTACCAATTTTTGATATTATATTGTCCTAGTATAGATACTTGATATTTTTATCAAATGTTTAAATTAAAATTTTCCTTACATGGTAAAATGTTTAAACAATTTTGACTCTTTTTGAGGTATTTATAACTGAGAAATTTTTCAAATATTTTTAATTATTTTTCATTGGCAATTCATAAAATATTTTCTTTTCACAGTTAAGGCCCAAGATTAAAAATGTTAATAAAAGATTTCACATAAGTTTTTCTACCTATAAAAAACCGTATACTTAAACTTGAATTTTTTATGAGTGTTCGAACTTATAATTGTCACGATATTCGATATTCAGCGGTAAATCGAATTCTCATTAATCGATTTTTTTTTGATTTTGTTGTATTTCCAAAATGAATAACCGTAGACTCTTGAAATGTTCACCAAATATTTATATTAGCATTTTCCATACATCAAAAATTCTTTAAACACTTTTGAATTTTTATGAACTATTTATGAGAAAATTTTTCAAATTGAATTCAAATATAACACATCCACTACAACAACATTCTCAACAACTATTGTACAGAAAAGCGGTACCCACTTGACCACATTTTTTTTTATCCATTTATACATCCAGGTTACTATTTTTATCACCTAAATAATATAATATACCTCATGTATTCATCAGGTATATTACTGTTGATTTACTTAAATATTAGTGTCCTTATGTGTTCATGGTGCATTTAGGAATGGTTATAGTAATTATAAAATCAAAGTATGACGTATGTTATTTTGGGGTGTGGGGGCGTAGCCCCCGCGGGTTTGTGTTCTCTACATAATTTTAGCACCCCCAGTGTTTGGCCTCTAGTTGCGCCTATGTTAATAATTCATAAACATAAAACAAGTCAAACAGTTGGTCTTGGTCTTGCAGCAAGACCAATTTTGATCATCACTATATACTATATTACAATATATTGAACTTCAGTGTCATCTTAGAGATCATGGCGAAAAACCTACACACAGCTATAACAGTTATTTGGTTTTTTTCTTTATATATTTTGTGAAAATAGCAAAAGTCTTGTAAGAGTCTTGGTCTTGTTTTGATCATCACTACTTAAAACATGATAAGCTTGAGCCCCCTTGGCCCTTAACATGACGCCTATGAGATTAGTTGTATGTGTTTTTAAGGGGTATGAATAGTATTGAAAAATTCTATGAAAATACCTATACTTTTGTATTTCCAATAATATGGTTTATTGAGCGGTTTGAGAGTAAATACACCTATGATCAATATTGTAGAAGATAAGTTAATCTATGTGATTATATGTCTGTTTAAAAGTCAATTTTCGATATTTTAATATTTAATTACTAAACTCAATAATTCAAATTCAAAAAGTAAAATATCACAAGTTTTAGAGTTAAATATTTTACATTGAAAATAAAATATCGAAAATCGACTACTATACAAACCTAGATAAACTTCTTCTCTTCAATTTGTATAATGAGTGTACCTACATACTGCAATGTCACTATCAGTAAGCTATATTATTGGAAATACAAAACTAAGTTTCAGGATTTCATTAAAATTCACATTTATAATTAGTGTGTAAAATGCTGAGTGAGTTATGCTTGTATAATAAATGTAAATTAAAAATGCTCATAACTCATTTGAAAACTGAATTATATTAAAAAAAACTTCCAACAAAACACAGATAATGTTTACTCCTAGTTGTTGATTGTTAATTTAAAAAAAATATATGAGCGTTTATCCATTATAATTTTTATAAGCGTCTAAAGTTAGAATTTTTACCAAAATATGCAAATTATTTTGAGTTAGAAATTGTTATAAATGTTTATGTTTTTATTTACATCTAAGATAACCGAAGTACATTTTATTCAATATTTTTTAATTAGGTAGGTTCATAATTTTTTCTATATACCTAATATATTATAATATTGACTCGTGCGATACACGCTTATAATATACATCGTTTTTCGTATAGGTACAATGATTTTATATTATTGAATTCAAATTGAACTTATTTATTACAGTGACCCCTTAGACATCCATAATTAGTTCAAACAGCCAAAATAATTTTAAAATGTTATCGTGTATGGAAAATGGTCATATTACTATAATATATCGAAAATATGAATATTTATAGTAGTCGCTAGGTATCTATAGTTATTAGTTTTTGAGTTATAAACTAAAAAATCAAAATTGATTTTGAGTAAGTAATAATCCTTAATTTTTTCCTCTATATTTTGAAAACTACTTTTCTATTTAATCTCTCTAATGCACCCTCTAGATTCACTTTCCTATAAGAAAAATTCTGATGTAAAACATTGATGACAGACAAAAAAAAACCACAAATCATTCTAAAATTTATACAATCTTTCAGTAGGCCTAGAATCTAAAATATTTAAACACAATATTTTTTATAGAAATTTTGTTCAACTTTTTATCAAATTAGACGTTTTAACAAATAATAACGATTTTAGTGGATTTATTTTAATTTAAAAATACTATTCGTGGTAGGTACTTGAAACATTTATTACGTAGTTCCTATTTTATATGACATTTTAAATGCGATTTTTTAACAAAAATTAATTCAGCCTACGCTTTAAAAAAAATACCAATAAACCATAAAAATATTAACTATATAAAAACTTATATAATCAAATAGTTTACGTAGGTACATTGGTATTTGTTTTTGGTGTGGTGTGGTATGCAGGGGCTCTCGGCATTTTAAACAGATGTATAATGGTGATTGTTATTTACTAATTCAGCCTAAAGTTTTTGCCACGTACTTAAAATGTCGATTATACATCTGTTTAAAATTCCGAGAGCCCGTGCATGCCACACCAAATATTTACTTACGTGAAAAAAAAAATAACAATAATGTACCTACAACATGTACCTACAAAAAATTTGTACCCTAAACTATTTTTTTTATAAGCCTTTATAGTTAAAATTTTCACGAAATTCATATTCATGAGTAATTTAAACATCAAGTAGTATAAAAACCCTTGATTAAAATTTTCAATACTGGGATATAAAAATTGAACATTTTTTACAAAACAATTTATACATTTTCGAGATTTTGATGAATTTCATAAAAATTTGATGTTTATAAAATATATTTTTATAAAAGACCTGCATGTTAAATATCTTCAATATTTCAAATACTACAGTCGCGGATTCGGGGGGGGGGCTATGGGTGCTCGGGCACCCCCTGTCGTCCAAGGCACTCTAAGCCACTATTAAACTGCATTTGAATTCAAAATTCTAAAATTGAAAATTGTTACCATTGTTTTAGATTCTGAGTGAAACGATGAATGTATTGATTTTACAATGATGTGTGTTTTTTTTTATTTATTTATTTTTTTTATTTTTTATTTTTATTTTTTTTTTTGTGTCTGTCATCACGTTTTAGGACAGTAAAAGTGATTGGATTTTCTTCAACAGTAGCTTTTCTGATATAAAAGTGAATCTAGTTGGTACTTTGGGGGGGTCAAAAGTAAAAATTTCCTAGCAGTTTTCACAAGCACCGGGAAAAACAACATAAAAATTAAGGAAAAACGGGAATTTTTACGCAAAACCGGTTTTCCAAAAAATCTATTTTGGTTTTTGGTGTAACTTTAAAACAAATGAACGTATATACATGAAATTTTCACTGGTTGTTTATATTTGCATTTTCTATACACGATAACATTTTCAAAATATTTTGATTTATTTTGAACTGTTTAGGGACATTTTACTTTTCCATTTGTTTTTAGTTTTTTTTCTAAAAATATCAATAAAATTTTATTTGTTGGTTGCGAAAGCTTGAAAATTTAATAGAAGGCTCCTAGTATATTTTTTCAAAGGCAGATGAAAAGTATTAAAAATCCTTAGTCACAATTTTTTTCTATAAGCATTTAAAAATCAAATTTTGACAACATTTATCAAAATATCGAAAATTATCAATCATTGTAATTAATAAATTATAAAATGTTCAGTTTTCATAGCTAAGGATTGCAAATTTAAAACAAAGGTTCTCATAAATAGTTCATACTGTAACCAAAAATCTAAAAAATATATGAACACAGTTATTTTTTACAGACATTTTAAATTCAAATTTGGACGAAATTACATAATAAAAAACCTAGAATTACTATTTTAGTTATTTTGTTGTGATTGTATAATATTTTTCGTGGGTACTTGAAACTTCTAAAGTATACTACTATAGTACTATATATCTATGATAGTATCAGGGTTTGTTGTTGGTGTATAACGCGTTATAAGTACCTAATGGATATTGTGGTATGATTAATTTGGAATTCATTATAGGTCAATTTTTTTTAATACCATAGGTAATATGTCTTATACCTAGAAGGACATACCGTCTCCGCTCAGAATCGTTTTTCTTATACAATGATATAATATCATTGAATTCAAATGTAATACTATTCATTATACAGTGACCCACTTGTTACCTACTGTACAGCAGAGCGACACCCACTTGCCCACCTTTTTTTTTGTTTCTGACATCACCATATTTGTGGCAGTACAACTGCTTTGATTTTCTTCAACAGTACCTATCTCGATCGATGGGAAAGTGGATATAGTTGGTTCATTCAGAAGGTCAAAATTTAAAATTCCAATTGTTTTAAAAGTGCCTAGAATAACAAAACAAAAATTACGGAAAAACGGGAATTTTTAAGCAAAATCAGTTTTCGACAATATCAATTTTGGTTGTTTGTGTACCTAACTCTAAAAAAAATAACCGTAGATATATGAAATTTTCACTGAATGTTTATATTAGCATTAATTTCTGTACACGATAAAATTTACACTATCAATATAATATTTTGAATTGTTTTGAGCTGTTTACAGAGATAATAAATTTTCAGTTTTTTTAGTTTTTTTTCTGTGATTGCCAATAAAATTTTATCTGTTGTGTAAAAATGCTTGAAAATTTAATACATGGCTCTTAAGATATTGTTACAATGACATTTGAAAAATATTAAATATACATTCACAATTTTTTCTTCTAAGCATATTAAGTTCAAATATTGACTACATTATACGTAAAAGTGACGAAAATTTGCAAATTTTTTCGAGTTAGAAATACATAAAATTTTTGTTTTTAAATCTAACATTAGATAATTTAATACAAGATTCCTCATAAGTATGTCTACCTTTATCAAAAAAAATATCTACCTTAAAGTCAAATTAAATTTTTACATCATTGCATATTTTCTCGATTTCTCATGTAGGGATGTAGCGATTTTCTTATTTTGTTGGAATTCAAACACGAATAACTGTAGATATGTACTTGAATTTTACACCATATAACTATTATCAATACTTGATAAAATGTACAAAATATTTTGACCTGTTTTGAACTGTTTACGGACATTTTAAATTTTTTATTTTTTATTTTTTAATTATCAATAAAATGTCATTTGTTGGGTCAAAATGCGTAAACATTTAATACAAGGCGCCTGCTATATTTTTACTTTACAGTTGAACATTTTAACATAAAGTCAAAATTTTTGTTATAAGCATTTAAAGTTCGAATTTTGACAAAATGTATCTAATTTTAATTTTAAAATTATTTTGTGATTAAAAATGTACAAAATGTTCAGTTTTTATAGCGAAGGATTGACAATTTAAAACCAAGTTCCACGTAAATAGGTAAATAAATTACTTTATTCACAAAAATATCATCAAATATACTTAGGTAGTAATATTATAGCCTGACCGAAAGTATTCGTTCAGAATCGTTTTTCTTATACAATGATAATGTTATATCATTGTGATCCAATTGTATAACTTACTAAACAGCAGAGAGTCACCCACTTGCCCATCTTTTTTTGTTTGAGCACCCCTTGTTAAAATCTTCTGGGTCCGCGCCTGAAATACTATATTATAACAATGTATGCAATCCTCAAATATTTAGATTAATTTAACCGGCTTATTCAATGAACTTATAATCCGACAGTTCTACCGACCTATACAGTACGGCTCGCCGGTATTGAGTTATACCTAAGTTAATCACAACTAGTGTTAACGATTTACAAAACACATTTATCAACAGTAAATAATTATACCTTAGAACAATACTTTATTGATTAATTATAATAAAATACAATAGAGAAATACAAAAAAAATAACGGTGCGCAACGACCGACCGATAGGAACGGTACGCAAGACTGCTGCTTCTCTCCGCCAGTCGAGAGCACTGTACTGCTACCTACTCCCCCCTATAATATAAATTGTTATCATTCGGGCATTCTGACACATTAGTGCCCTCACTTATAAATAATTAGTTAATTAAATTAAATACAAAATATAAAATTATTAAACAACTTTCAGTTTAACATAGTAATATAGTACACAAATACAACAATTTAATCTTGTTACATTTTATAAAGTTTTTGCCATTCCGGTGGTCTGGTGATTCTTTTGGGGTGTTTCCTTTCACCTTGACCTACTGCACTTTCCTTGGTTGTTGTTGATTTTTCCTCTACTAATATGTCTGCTTCATCTTCACTCTCCTCTTTGTCGCTGAATGTTGGATCATCTTCAACCGCTGATGGTAAGTAGTATCCTTTAATGTGAGATACATGTACCATTGTAGCGTATCTTCTTCCTTCTGTGGTTCTTAATGCTGCTACTCGATATACTCCATTACTCAAGGCCTCGGTTACCACCATCGGACCACGATACTTATTCTGAAGCTTGGTGGAGTCTCCAGTTGCCTCCGTTGGTCTTCTGATAAACACTATATCACCAATTTTATATATAACTGGTTTACAGTGTTTTGAATCATACTTCTCTTTCCACATCTGTTGTTCTCGTACAATTCGCTGTCTTATTTGGTCTTGCAATTTTGTTGGATCTTTCCAGTCTTCCATAGTTGTGGCATTGCTTAGTACACCGTCGTTAAAGCTGGGAAGATAACCATATAAAACATGAAAAGGTGTGTCATCAATAGTGTTGTTATAAGCATTATTTAATTGTCGTTCCACATTCATCAGATCCTTGTCCCATGTTCGGTCGGACTCCATGTTGGCTTGTAATACTGGTACTAGAGTACTATTTACTCGCTCTACCTGTCCGTTTGACTGTGGATGCCGCACCGAATTCAACGTATGTTTGATCCCATGTTGCAAACAAAACTCTTCAAATGCCTTTGCTGTGAACGCTGTCCCTCTGTCGCTGATCACACGTCTCGGGATCCCATACATAGTTATGAACTGTTGTAAACTGCTCACCACTCCTTCGGTTCCACAGCTTGTTACTGCATATAATTTTACAAATTTAGTCCAATGTCTAATGTTCAAATGTCCAATGTTGTAAACATTTTTGCCCCCTGCAGTCGTTCTAAATGTTCATCAAGATTAGGTGTAGGAAATACTTTACGTACCGTCTGCGAATTCAATTTCCGATAATCTACGACTAGTCTGGCGTCGCCGTCCTTTTTGCTGACTAGTAGCACAGGGGATGCATACGGAGAACTAGTTTCTTTGACAATACCCGCATCTTTCCACTCTCGAACAATACGGCTAATAGTATCCCGCTCTGAAGCACTTGCCCGATATGGTTTACAAACAACCGGTTGACCGTCATCCACTATGTCCATTTGTATTACGGTGGTACAACCTAGTTCGCCTAAGTTGAATGCAAAACAGCAACGGTATTTATTCAACAGTGTAACAAGATCATTTACCTCTTCCTGTGAAAACAAAGGTCCACGTTGCACCATTTCTTCAGTGATCGGAACCGTTGTAACTTCTGTCGTTTGCATTGGCTGGCTTCTCTCACGTACAACGCCTACACGATCACCTCGCCGCAGGTTCAGCTCATCCTCCCCATTGTTGATGACCATCACATTAATTGTCTCTTTGCCTGTAGTGACTTCAACTACCTTGGCACTGGTTGCTGGTAATGTCTCAGTCTCATGAGTTATTGTCAATGCATGTTTTTTCCGACGAATCCCTGGGAATATCTGACTCTTGATAAGGAAACTTCATGTCATAGCCGAACACCAATTGGTTTTTAGTTTTGATGAAGGTTACATTTTCCAATTCAATGAAAGAACGTCCAATAATAATTTCATGTTGTTGTATGTTGTCATTCACCACTATCAGCTTGACCCGTTCCTGTACCTCATCGATGCTTATGACTGCTTCCGCCTCACCCAAACTAATCACTGGTTGAGCAGTGCCGTATGCCCACATGTCAATTTTTCTTGAATTTATTTCCAAACCAAATCTCACAGCAGTTGATCGTTTTATGATGGAAACTGCACTACCAGTATCCACCAGTCCATGGATTATGTCTTCGTGTTCGTTTATTCTTACTTCTTTAATATAATGTATTATACTACTTTTTGGTTGCACGCTAATCAGGTTGACGTCGGTGATATTGACTTGACAGTACTTTGCAGTATGTCCCTCACGCTTGCACTTGTTGCACTTCAATGGTTTTCGTGGTTGGTCGCAATCTCGTGCTATGTGACCAGACAGTTGGCAATTGTAACAGCGCGGACTCGTTTGAGATGGGGTACCCCTCATATTGTTGACATTTTTCGTTTCTTTAGTAATTGTCGGTTCCTTCTCTGACGTAAACTTCGGTTTCGATTTGATTGGTGTTGTACGAGGTGCTGTGTTACGATATCTCTCGCTTCGATTTCGATCAACTTCGTTGAACGTCCGAATGTCAGCTACTAATTCTGTCTCACTAGTATGTCCATTGCTCAGTAACGCAGATGACAACTCCCGAGAATGCAACCCCACACACACCATTTTTTTTGTTTCCATTGCCGTTAAACCCAAACGTCGGCATAGTCTAACCTTTTCATGAAAATATGCGAACACTGTCTCGTCCCGCCTCTGGACGCGCTCATTCATACTTTTCCACGTTTCAGTGATGCTCTCATGGCCCATGAATGTCTCCTCAAACAATGTCGCAAATTTCTGGAAACTCTCTAAATCACTCATGTGACATAAATACCAATTTCTAGCTGCCCCCGCCAAGTGTGAGCGACCAGTTTCTAGGGTACATGCATCTGACCATTTGTTTACTAACGCGGCTGTTTTGAGAGCTCTTAGCCACTCTGCGGCTACATCTGTATCTCCAGTTTCACCGTTGAACACAGGTACAGTTTGCATAATTACCGGTAACATTGATGCGGTTGGTCGTTCCGTTGCCTTGGTCTCCATCAACTTGTTTATAATCTTATCCATCTGCTGTTCTCTTAGACGATTTTGTTCCAACAGTGCCCGTACCAAATCGTTTGTATCGAATGCCTGCGCACTACCGCCGGTAACATTCTTATCCGTTTCCGTTGGCATAGTTAAATTTTTTTATCACACGCGTCGGATATTGTTTTTGTTTTTGACTTGATTACGTCAATTAAAGATACCACAACACAAACACGGTTACGCAGATAGTCAATTTGTTGATAACGTGGTTGTTATCACGTCAATGGTTAACGTAAGATAAAATTTCACCACGGTAACACCTAAACCGGCTGGCGGCTACCAACCTTTGAGGTTCGCACTTACGTAATTACGCACTCTCGGACGCTGGTTGACGCAAACCACGTGTCGAAACGAATACACAATACAAATTGTTCTACTTTTACGAGTCCCAAATGACCATCTAACACCGCGATCAGAGATTTACTCATTTGACTCTGTTTACTCTGTTGTACGCACTAGATAAATGAAGGAAATTTTAATTATTGACGCATAAACACTTGTTCGTTAATGCACACTCGAACGATAACACACGGCGGATTTACGGTTGAAATCCCACTTCTGATCTGTTAACGATTTACAAAACACATTTATCAACAGTAAATAATTATACCTTAGAACAATACTTTATTGATTAATTATAATAAAATACAATAGAGAAATACAAAAAAAATAACGGTGCGCAACGACCGACCGATAGGAACGGTACGCAAGACTGCTGCTTCTCTCCGCCAGTCGAGAGCACTGTACTGCTACCTACTCCCCCCTATAATATAAATTGTTATCATTCGGGCATTCTGACACATTAGTGCCCTCACTTATAAATAATTAGTTAATTAAATTAAATACAAAATATAAAATTATTAAACAACTTTCAGTTTAACATAGTAATATAGTACACAAATACAACAATTTAATCTTGTTACATTTTATAAAGTTTTTGCCATTCCGGTGGTCTGGTGATTCTTTTGGGGTGTTTCCTTTCACCTTGACCTACTGCACTTTCCTTGGTTGTTGTTGATTTTTCCTCTACTAATATGTCTGCTTCATCTTCACTCTCCTCTTTGTCGCTGAATGTTGGATCATCTTCAACCGCTGATGGTAAGTAGTATCCTTTAATGTGAGATACATGTACCATTGTAGCGTATCTTCTTCCTTCTGTGGTTCTTAATGCTGCTACTCGATATACTCCATTACTCAAGGCCTCGGTTACCACCATCGGACCACGATACTTATTCTGAAGCTTGGTGGAGTCTCCAGTTGCCTCCGTTGGTCTTCTGATAAACACTATATCACCAATTTTATATATAACTGGTTTACAGTGTTTTGAATCATACTTCTCTTTCCACATCTGTTGTTCTCGTACAATTCGCTGTCTTATTTGGTCTTGCAATTTTGTTGGATCTTTCCAGTCTTCCATAGTTGTGGCATTGCTTAGTACACCGTCGTTAAAGCTGGGAAGATAACCATATAAAACATGAAAAGGTGTGTCATCAATAGTGTTGTTATAAGCATTATTTAATTGTCGTTCCACATTCATCAGATCCTTGTCCCATGTTCGGTCGGACTCCATGTTGGCTTGTAATACTGGTACTAGAGTACTATTTACTCGCTCTACCTGTCCGTTTGACTGTGGATGCCGCACCGAATTCAACGTATGTTTGATCCCATGTTGCAAACAAAACTCTTCAAATGCCTTTGCTGTGAACGCTGTCCCTCTGTCGCTGATCACACGTCTCGGGATCCCATACATAGTTATGAACTGTTGTAAACTGCTCACCACTCCTTCGGTTCCACAGCTTGTTACTGCATATAATTTTACAAATTTAGTCAGGTTATCAATCATCACTAAAACATACCTTTTCCCTTTTGTTGATTTCACAAACGGTCCTATATGATCCATGTTGATGACTTCAAAGGGACGCCTTCCTGGTTCGATTGGGTGAAGAGTTCCAGGTTGTTTTCCTCGTGGTGTTTTTGTTAAAACACATTCGGGACAACAGCTAATATGAACTCTCACATATCGCCGCATTCGTGGGAAATAATACTTTTCCATAATTTTATTGACTGTACGATCCAGAGCAAAATGTCCGGACAAATCATGGAACCGTACAACAAGACTTTTACGCATAGGGTCTGGTACCACCCACAGATACCTCAGATTGCCCCCTACTTTTACTTCTTTATATAACATGCCATTTTGAATAGTGTAGTATCTTACCATGGTTACTTCAGCCACTGAACGCTCTGACTCCTCACGACTCAATATGTCCACAATCATTCTAAGTTTAGAGTCTGCACGTTGCATAGTTAATACCTGGTCTTCCTCGCTCATAATCTCCAGTACTTCTAGATGTTCATCAAGCACTTCTGCTTCAGTATCCACGGGCCTGTCGATTGGAGCTCTGCTAAGTGCATCTATATGTCCCATCTTACTACCTGGGCGGTGTTTAATGTTGAAGTTGAATTCACTGAGCATAGTAGCCCACCTTGCCACCTGAGGTTGTACAGTCTTCTGTGTATTCAGATGCACTATGGCTTGGCAGTCTGTCACTACCAGGAACTGGATACCAATCAGATATGGCCGGAGTCGATTCATGCTCCATACCATTGCCATTAACTCTTGCTTACTGGAATGATAATTTTTCTCTGCACTGGTTGTCTTTTTTGACACTGCATGTACTAATTGGAGTTTATCATCACTACCGCGCTGTAGGAGCATGCCACTCAATCCCACACTGCTGGCATCGCAATGTAACTCTGTATATGCCGTTGGATTGAATAATTGTAGAACTGGCCGGCTCACAAGATGTTCTTTTAACATTTGAAATGACTGTTCCTGGGCAGTAGTCCATACGAAGGGCTCACCGTCTTTTAACAGTTCACTAATCGGTAGAGCTTTTTCTGCATAATGAGGTATGAACCTCCTGAAAAATCCACATAGACCAAGAAATCTCCGAACTTCATGTTTGTTAACTGGTTTGGGAAATGCCTTGACTGCCATTATCTTTTGATCACCTGGTCGCACACCCTTTTCTGACAACATAAAACCTAAATAAGCTACTTCCGGGTAACCAAAGTAGCACTTACTCAACTTTAGTGTTAGCTTCGCCCCTTTTAATGCCTCTAGTACCTGTTGTAATCGGTTTAGCATATCTGGTATTGACGTAGAAGGCACAAGAATATCATCGAGGTACCACATGGCCACTTTGTCCTTCAGTGGATGTAGTACACGTTGCATCAATCGAGAGAACTCATATGGAGCATTGACTAGTCCGAACACCATCCTTTCAAATTGGCCAGACTCGCTAGGCGTTATAAAGGCAGTTTTCTCTTTGGCAGATTCTGATAACGGTACTTGCAAATAACCCGACGCAAGGTCCAATGTTGTAAACATTTTTGCCCCCTGCAGTCGTTCTAAATGTTCATCAAGATTAGGTGTAGGAAATACTTTACGTACCGTCTGCGAATTCAATTTCCGATAATCTACGACTAGTCTGGCGTCGCCGTCCTTTTTGCTGACTAGTAGCACAGGGGATGCATACGGAGAACTAGTTTCTTTGACAATACCCGCATCTTTCCACTCTCGAACAATACGGCTAATAGTATCCCGCTCTGAAGCACTTGCCCGATATGGTTTACAAACAACCGGTTGACCGTCATCCACTATGTCCATTTGTATTACGGTGGTACAACCTAGTTCGCCTAAGTTGAATGCAAAACAGCAACGGTATTTATTCAACAGTGTAACAAGATCATTTACCTCTTCCTGTGAAAACAAAGGTCCACGTTGCACCATTTCTTCAGTGATCGGAACCGTTGTAACTTCTGTCGTTTGCATTGGCTGGCTTCTCTCACGTACAACGCCTACACGATCACCTCGCCGCAGGTTCAGCTCATCCTCCCCATTGTTGATGACCATCACATTAATTGTCTCTTTGCCTGTAGTGACTTCAACTACCTTGGCACTGGTTGCTGGTAATGTCTCAGTCTCATGAGTTATTGTCAATGCATGTTTTTTCCGACGAATCCCTGGGAATATCTGACTCTTGATAAGGAAACTTCATGTCATAGCCGAACACCAATTGGTTTTTAGTTTTGATGAAGGTTACATTTTCCAATTCAATGAAAGAACGTCCAATAATAATTTCATGTTGTTGTATGTTGTCATTCACCACTATCAGCTTGACCCGTTCCTGTACCTCATCGATGCTTATGACTGCTTCCGCCTCACCCAAACTAATCACTGGTTGAGCAGTGCCGTATGCCCACATGTCAATTTTTCTTGAATTTATTTCCAAACCAAATCTCACAGCAGTTGATCGTTTTATGATGGAAACTGCACTACCAGTATCCACCAGTCCATGGATTATGTCTTCGTGTTCGTTTATTCTTACTTCTTTAATATAATGTATTATACTACTTTTTGGTTGCACGCTAATCAGGTTGACGTCGGTGATATTGACTTGACAGTACTTTGCAGTATGTCCCTCACGCTTGCACTTGTTGCACTTCAATGGTTTTCGTGGTTGGTCGCAATCTCGTGCTATGTGACCAGACAGTTGGCAATTGTAACAGCGCGGACTCGTTTGAGATGGGGTACCCCTCATATTGTTGACATTTTTCGTTTCTTTAGTAATTGTCGGTTCCTTCTCTGACGTAAACTTCGGTTTCGATTTGATTGGTGTTGTACGAGGTGCTGTGTTACGATATCTCTCGCTTCGATTTCGATCAACTTCGTTGAACGTCCGAATGTCAGCTACTAATTCTGTCTCACTAGTATGTCCATTGCTCAGTAACGCAGATGACAACTCCCGAGAATGCAACCCCACACACACCATTTTTTTTGTTTCAATTGCCGTTAAACCCAAACGTCGGCATAGTCTAACCTTTTCATGAAAATATGCGAACACTGTCTCGTCCCGCCTCTGGACGCGCTCATTCATACTTTTCCACGTTTCAGTGATGCTCTCATGGCCCATGAATGTCTCCTCAAACAATGTCGCAAATTTCTGGAAACTCTCTAAATCACTCATGTGACATAAATACCAATTTCTAGCTGCCCCCGCCAAGTGTGAGCGACCAGTTTCTAGGGTACATGCATCTGACCATTTGTTTACTAACGCGGCTGTTTTGAGAGCTCTTAGCCACTCTGCGGCTACATCTGTATCTCCAGTTTCACCGTTGAACACAGGTACAGTTTGCATAATTACCGGTAACATTGATGCGGTTGGTCGTTCCGTTGCCTTGGTCTCCATCAACTTGTTTATAATCTTATCCATCTGCTGTTCTCTTAGACGATTTTGTTCCAACAGTGCCCGTACCAAATCGTTTGTATCGAATGCCTGCGCACTACCGCCGGTAACATTCTTATCCGTTTCCGTTGGCATAGTTAAATTTTTTTATCACACGCGTCGGATATTGTTTTTGTTTTTGACTTGATTACGTCAATTAAAGATACCACAACACAAACACGGTTACGCAGATAGTCAATTTGTTGATAACGTGGTTGTTATCACGTCAATGGTTAACGTAAGATAAAATTTCACCACGGTAACACCTAAACCGGCTGGCGGCTACCAACCTTTGAGGTTCGCACTTACGTAATTACGCACTCTCGGACGCTGGTTGACGCAAACCACGTGTCGAAACGAATACACAATACAAATTGTTCTACTTTTACGAGTCCCAAATGACCATCTAACACCGCGATCAGAGATTTACTCATTTGACTCTGTTTACTCTGTTGTACGCACTAGATAAATGAAGGAAATTTTAATTATTGACGCATAAACACTTGTTCGTTAATGCACACTCGAACGATAACACACGGCGGATTTACGGTTGAAATCCCACTTCTGATCTGTTAACGATTTACAAAACACATTTATCAACAGTAAATAATTATACCTTAGAACAATACTTTATTGATTAATTATAATAAAATACAATAGAGAAATACAAAAAAAATAACGGTGCGCAACGACCGACCGATAGGAACGGTACGCAAGACTGCTGCTTCTCTCCGCCAGTCGAGACTACTCGAGAGCACTGTACTGCTACCTACTCCCCCCTATAATATAAATTGTTATCACTAGTTAATAAGAAAAAAGCCTACTTCAATCTTATCACAGCATATTTATAACAATCAACAAGGATTTAGACCTAAAATATCAATCTCCACAAACACCTTAGTTGAAAAATCCACAATACATCATCGAGTAGTCGAGTACAGTTAGATTCTATTTACACAGATTTCAAAATAGAGTTTGATAAAGTTAGATTATTTTTTTTATAGTTAGTTATTTTTACACAGCATTTGGGAAATGATAATATTTTTTGAAGAATTTTAAAGTGTTTGAATAATGAATATTTGACTAACAATATTTTCTTCTCATTATTATAACAAAATATTGTACTATATGATTGCATAAAAATGTTGACCTTATATTTTTATATAGTTTTCGTAAAAATGTTTTTTTTTTTTAAATACCTATATGATTAAAATGTTTTATACATGTTTCTGGACCAAAGAATATAACTAAAATATTTTCTAATTACTTACTCAGCTTTTTTAAATATTTTGAGAACTACATTATTTTCCTGAAAATATTAATACTATTGTTAGGAAATATTTATATGCTGAAAGGGAATTTGCTAATCTTGAAATTGAAATTATTTGGTTTCCACGGAAAACTTTTAAATTGGATTAAGTCATATTTAAGTAATCTCACCCAAGCTGTAAAATTGTCTTCCTATCTTTCAACGGATTTTGAAGTAATACCTCAGGCGTACGGCACATCGGGTACCACAACGATCGTTCTTGGATCTACTCTTGTTTATTCTGTTTATAAATGATTTACATAATATCTTTGATAACACAATTCAATTATTATTGTTTGCCGATGATGCCAAAATATTTTCAATAATTCAATCTCTTTCTGACGAATTACAATTGCAGTTGAATTTAGACAAACCAGTCAGTTTCTACTCACACAAAAGATCATATAACTATTACAACTATAAGATTTATAATTTAAAATTAGCAAGAATTACTTTTAATAAAGACTTGGGTATTTGGGTATTTTTTTTTTTTTTTTTTGATTACAATATATTTTTTCCTTCCTTTCCTAATTCGATTGTAAATAAAGACTTCAAAATGTTAGGACTTAGGATTAAGAAACATAAATACAATACATTTTAAAATTATAAGACATTATATATATTGTATATTATACTTTTCCCTGGCTAAATCTAACCTTGAGTTTGGGTCAGTGGTCTGGTCACCAAGTTATACCACTCATATTAAAAATATAGAAAACGTTCAATATAAATTTCTTAAAATGATATGCTTTAAATTAAATTTTCCTATCTCTAGAGATTCTTACAACTTACAAGCTTCTCAACTTTGAATTCCATTGTACGAGCTAAGGAGGAAAGCGGCTGATATCATGTTACTCTATGATTTATTAAACGGCAATATTGACCAGGGGATGGTTTACTGTCTAAGATTGGGTTTTATGTTGGTTATCACTGCTTAAGGAAGAACAATGTATTTCATGTTCCGCTTTGTTATAATAACTTTAGTTTCGACTATTTTTTTCCTAGAGTTTTCTCATTAGCAAGCAATAATTATTTTATATAAATATTTATGTTGACTTTTTTCTAATGAAGCCTAATGTTTTTAAACAGAATATATTTTCATCATTAAGCAATATTCATATTTGATTGTATTAAAATTCTTTTTTTAATTAACCATTTCATTTATATGTCCATTTTGTTTACCTACGCCGTATTATGTTACTACTAGTTTTATCATATATTATAAGTTATAATAATTAATAGATAAGCTAAATTATAGGTGATAAAATAGGTTTCTTACCCGATAAAATAAAATAATAATAATAAAAATAATGATATAAATATAAATAAATAGCTGAATATCCCGGCTTCAACCGTGTGCAGTTTCTTTTTTTTATCAAATCCTACATAGTATATACATTATACATGGTATATAGATGTTTCTCAGTTTTAGTGTACCTTAGTTTACAGACCAATCGACTTTAGTGAACCTAGCTTTGCAGTTAGTGTAATAATTTGATCTAGAATGGCAATACGGATTGGATTTAGCACTTGGTATGTTTTTATCGTGGTTTAAACTAGGTACTTATTCTCTACACTTTTCTGATATCTCTAAAAACAAATTTGGGACTTTCGTAAAATTCAATTGAGAATTTTTGAGTATATAAGGTAAGTACACACTTAGGTACATTTGGTTTTAAGATATAGTTTCTTTATTCGAGTCAATAATCGTATGTATGTTTGTACCTGATCTGCCCGGGTAAACAATGGCAACCATTTATAAACAACAAAAAACATTTTTATTTCCAGCTTGAATCTTAAGATCCCGTTAGACTACCTCTTTAAAATGCAAATATCGGAACATCTTTCCTTACTGTACATCTAGATTATTAGAGAAACCACTATTCCAAATTCAAGTTTCAACGTTTTATATTTTTTGGAATGTACCGATGAATGAGAGAGTGGTATTTGATAGATAGGTATTTTTAATAGATATCTATAATAAATTCCAAATTAATCATACATTTTTAACTAGAAAATAATTATTAAATTTTAAATTTGATACATTTTGTCAAAATTCGTTCTTTAAATGCTTATAATAAAAAATTGTGAATAGGTATGTATTTTTAATATTTTTCCACTGCTATTGTAAAAATACATCAGGAGCCTTGTATTAAATTTTTACACTTTTTGGCCCAACAGATAAAACTTGAAATATGAAATTGTCCGCAAACAGCTCAAAACAAGTCAAAATATTTTGAAAATTTTTTTTAAGTATAATAATTGATAAAATAAACATTCAGTGAAATTTTCATGTATCTACAGTTATTCGTTTTTGAATTACAACAAAATAAGAAAATCGAGTGAATATCCAATGTTGTTAGAATTTGAATTTCAAAAGCTCATAAAAATTGAATTTGACTTTCTTATAGACATTTTTTTTTTTTTTGATAAAGGTGGATAATCTTATAAGTAATCTTGTATTACATTTTAAAATCATAGATTTAAAAAGAAAATTTTTTTTCTTAACTCAAAATAATTTGCTAATTTTCGTGATTTTTCGGTATTTTTTCAATTTAAATGCTTATAAAAAAAACGCTTGCCAATCAGGGATCGGGATGTAAGCTTTCTTGATTTTTAATTTTTAGAAATTTATTAACTGATATCACTTGGGTAGAGGTATAACAATTTCAATCCAGAAAAATTTCCGTGTGAACAGCCCCACAAAAAATCATTTTCATTTTCATTTATTCAGATAGATTATTCTATAATAGTTAATTCACTGCAGAACATAAAAAAAATTAAAACAAATTATATTGGCCTTCTTTTGATGTTTCTCAGCTCAGCTTTGTAGTTAATTAACGATTGGAGATAAAGTTCTGAAAATCTTCACTGCACTTCTCCTAGCCAATGTAACCCTAACAAGATCTTAAACAACTAATTCGTTCCCCAGTTTCGGAAGTCGTACTTGCTAAATGAAAATTTAGCGAAAAATAACTTTTTTTTATCTGTGAAAAATTAAATAATTTGTTTTTAAAAATTTTACTTCCACATTTATTATCTACTTGATAATCCCTTTTTAAAAAGTTATCAACTAACTTCCTAAAAGTTGAAAAATAGAAATGTTGGGACTGTTCAAGCCGACCTTTTAATGGATTCAAGTGGTTACACCACTTAGGTACCTATGATATCAAATCATTCTCATTAATATCTTATATTAAAACTAGCTAAATTACCCACCTACTCATCATAACTGAGTTACATTTTTATTATTTTCCTATTTAATATAAATTCTTGAAGTTTTCAAAATTCAAACTTTTTTCAATTCAATTACCATACTTACTTGATTAAAAATCAAGAAAGTAAAAACTGTGACTAAGGATTTTTAATATTTCTCAAATGTTAATGTAACAATGTAGTAGGAGCCTTTTTATTAAATTTTCAAATATTTTTACCCAACAAATAAAGTTTTATTGACATTCATAGAAAAAAAAAACTAATAAAATTTAAAACTGAAAATGTCCCTAAACAGTTCAAAATAAATCAAAATATTTTGAAAATTTTATCGTGTATAGAAAATGCAAATATAAACAACCAGTGAACATTTCATGTATCTACAGTCATTTGTTTTAAATTTACACCAAAAACCAAAGTCGATTTTGAGTAAAAATTCCCGTTTTTCCTTAATTTTTCTTTTGTTTTTCTTGGCGCTTTTGAAAATTACTGGGAATTTTAAACTTTGACCTCTCAAAAGTACCAACTAGATTCACTTTTCCATCGAACAAGATACTGAAGTTGAAAATCGAAGCATTATTTCGAATATTTATTGTGTACACAGACACAAAAAACAAATAAAAAACACCCATCATTGTAAAATCAATTTTTTATAAAATGAAAAGCAGTGGGGATAAATGACCACCTTGTTGAACACCTGGCAGGACGTTGATTGTTTTAGAAACTGAGTTGTTGATTTTAACTATAGTTGAGACCGACTGTCTAAATAAGAAGAAAATCAAGATAATAATGGATCCTATATACCTATTTACTTAATTTTGCTAGAAGACTATGTTCTACCTTTTTATATAAGGTAGTTATATAGAAAAATAGGGGGTACCGAAGAGAACCTTATCAAATGCATTAGCGACCTCTGAGTGATAATAATAACACCTGTGTGCCGTTAAAAAAAATTAAAATATGGCGTTCACCAACATATGGAAAATTTTACTATTGTCTTGTACACCAAATAAGTAAACAACTTATTGTGAACGTTATTTATTTTGTGCTGAGGGGGTCTTGAATATTAGTAAGCTATGTATTATTGCACTATAAATTAGATCGTTTATAAAAGAGATCGGGAAATATTATTTTATTTTATTTATTGTTCAACGTTTACATTACTTTGTATTATTATCTCGTATTAAATCAAAATGAGTTTTACTAAGAATATTTTTATTGCGTTTACAATAATTCTAGTAATTAAAATTTGGGTTAGGCCTACTGCTGCAATTAAGGATTCAAAGAAGAGAGGTACGTATGTGTCAATTTATTGCGTCGGATCCCAAACGGCTCCCGTCTATTGTTCGCTTATTCCCAAACGGCTCCCGTCCAAAAAGGTCTAACGAACAGGTAAATTCCGAAACGGCTCCCGTCCAAAAAAAATTCTCAAATCTGTACACCATGTTCGTTCAAAATCCTTACCAAAATTACCAAAATCAACAGAAGAAGTTTAGACAAAATTAATATTACAACTTCGGCAAATTCAATACTACACACCCAAATATTTTTAAGATTATTGACATACTAATCAATATACAATCTGAAACGCAAATTAAAGCTCGAAGTTATTTTAATACACCAAGATCGAAAAAAGCAAGAGTTCGTCGAAAAAATCATTTGCGAGTTTTCATCAAATAAAATATCACGCCAAGACTATATAAAAAAATTGTGCTTAACAAATTTACCCGATATATTATGATTTTTTAATATTTTTATTTATACATTTTTTACATTTTTTATATATTTTTTTTAACGTTAAAAATTTTAAATTTAATATTATACTATACGCTTTTTTATATAATTTTAATAATTTACATAGTGTACACCAAGACATTTTTAACCACACCTCTTTTGAGAGAGTCCTAAGTCTGTATAAAGTGGGAGGTAATTTGCGGTGTACAAAACTGGAGCCGTTTAGGAATTGACCTGTTCGTTAGACTTTTTTAGACGGGAGCCGTTTAGGAATTGCCCTTTTTGTAAAACGGGAGCCGATTAGAGAAACGGGAGCCGAATGGGCTACGACCATTTATTGATACGAATTATTTACAGTTGTATTATATATTTTTATTGTATTGATATTTATCAGCAGTGATTTGTACATTTTTTTTAGAATTACCTAATTTAAAAAATTAAACTAATTATTATTATGAAGGTGCGGATTCGTATGTGCATACATATTTTTCATGAGAACGGTAATCTACTCCGTAAAGTAGATCACCACGATCATGAGTGATGGTGATCGAATGATTCTACTATAGAAATATTACCAAAAATATGTATAATTATATGTATAATTATATTAATTATATAAATATATATATCTGTAGTTTATACTACATATTTTTACATATTATTAGAGGTTATCTGTATATATTAACATAATTTACTTTTAAATTTGAATAGATATTTTTGTTAAATGATATTCCCCTATTTGGAAAAAATTGCTGTTTTTGCCGTTAAATACGGTTATGAATATACCGCACCAGTCGTACATCGCGAGATTCGACTCACCACGCTACCGTCTAGATTAACATTAGATTAGATATATATTAGGGTCTATAGTCCATTTGCGTCCCAGAGTAGCAAATTTGCGGCCGGATGGATGTGGACAGATGCGCCCGAAAGATAAGATACTTCCTGTCGATTTATAGCCCATAGCGGCCATTTCTTATACAACGTTGCCGTTGTGATTCGCATAAAATGGATTATTTATATTTTTATAGATTCTTAGATTAAGTAGATTAGTAGATTGTAGTACCAACTTTAATAATAATTCTCCAAATACCTACTATAGTTTAAATTTTATAATTTTGTCAACATTTTGTGTTTATAAAAATTGTGAACAACACTTAATTAATTCACACTATTTTTTTTTTACTGTAATAAAAATAAAATTCATCTCACTTAAAATATTATAAATAAAATAAACATTTAAATTAAAAAAAAAAAAATTTTGGCAAATATAACATACACCCAATTAAGTACGTAATGCAATTATTGTAAAAATGAAGATGATAAATATTTCATTATAAACCGATCACTCTAAATCCACACTCATGTTTATTTACTGTTATAAAAATTCATCCCACATAAAATAGTTTAAATAATATAAACATTTAAAAAAGAAAAAGAAAATGTAGGTAAGTGCTCATGCCTTTTATTAGATATTGATGTATGCAGAAAAAATGTTATAAGTACACAAATATTAATTTTTTTGATTTTAGAGGAAAGATTAAATCTTATGCACATAAAATTGTTTTATAGTCTATTATTATGTGAAAATTATTATACCGTAATTTGTAGTAAACATATAAGTTGAACTAATAAAAATGTATTGTTTTAATTTTAGATTATTGTATTGGTAATATTTTAAATAATTAATAATTAATAAACAAATAGTAACTTAAAATATTGTGTATTATAATACTCATAATTAAAAAAAAATAAATGATTTATAGTATATTATGTTATAGTGTATTCTTATATTATGGTTAAGTTATCCCAATTGTACCTATATTTCACAAAATCAATAAATTCCTAATCTATGTTTGATTGACGTTGATTTTCATTTTAAATTCGATTTGCCATATTCATAAACTATTATAATATATTCTAACCAGTACACCAGTTTGCACATATGCTACCAAGTACCTACCTATACTAACTGTTGTACGCCTGTTGGTGCGTTTCCGGTTAGGTATTATAATACAACACAGATTTTTATATAGTACTAGATAGTGAACCCCCAACTTGAATTGAAGCTTCAATGTCGGTTGGCAGTTGTATGGTATTTTTACTATTTTATATGGAAAATAAGATTCATTATGATTTTTTTTTTTTTTTTTATTAAAGAAATAGCCCTCGGCAACTTGGCCATTGGGATAAGATACATTTTTTTTTTAAATAAATAAGTGTTACATAATAAATATAAAGGTTTAATAACTACAAATGTCTAGACTAGGTTGTATAAGCTTGATTGATGGTTGTGTATTCAGCTGGCTAAATAAGTTTGTCCAATCCGGTCTCCTGGAGGAACACGAATATGTCCGGCGATGGCAAGACTGGTCCAAGTGTGTCATATAAATCGCTGGATAGATTATTACGGTTCCTTGCGTCGAGGTATGCAAAGCATTCCGTGAGAATGTGTTTAATTGTTAGTTCAACCCCGCATGTCATACACGAGGGAGGCTCATCACGGGACATAAGGTATCCGTGGGTTATTCTGGTGTGGCCTATTCTTAGCCTGTTGATGATGGTTTCCTTTTTCCTGCCGGGATGATTGTTGGGCCAGTGGAGAACAGTTGACTTAATTTCGTTAAGTTTCGTTTTTTGTTTTACCCATATATTTTGCCAAGCTTGTATTGATAGATGTTTTATTGTTCTTATGGTATCTTGAGAAGTAGTAAGAGGAGTGATGTCTAAGGAAGTTGAGGAGGCTGTGTGCTTGGCTTGCTTATCTGCTTTTTCATTGCCTTCAATTGACGAATGACCTGGTATCCACATTATTTTGACCGCATTCCCTTTAGAGAGATGGGAGTAAATGAGAAGGTGGATTTTCTTTGCAATGTCGTTAGGCTTATGTGTGTTTGCTGTGCTAGAAATTGTACTTAAGGAATCACTTAAAATAATAAAATGTTGATATTGTTTTTCAAGTGCGTATTCAGAGGCTTTTAGAATGGCGATTTCTTCAGCTGAGTATATGGAGCATTCTGTTGGAAGTTTATATGTTATTACCTCATCTGTGTGTATAATGGCGATTCCCACGTTGTTTTCCGATTTTGAGGCGTCAGTGTAGATTTCAGTATTGTTAGAATATTGCGATATTGTGTTCTTAAAGTTTTGGATGTATACCTGCGAGCTGGTTGAGTTTTTAGGAAGTTCAGCAAGATTGGTATCAATAATATTAGGTAAAGATGTCCAAGGAGGGATGACAGGGAGTTGAGATGTTAAAATATTTGTAAGATTGATATTATTTTTTTTAATGATTGCTAGTAAGGACGGGTAAGAGTTTAGGGAAGATATCATTCTGTCTCTGGCAAGTTTGGTTGCGAGAATCATTGCTGCTTCTTGACGTTTTATATGGAGAGGCATTATGTTGGCTATGTTGAGAAGACTATCAATAGGGCTGGACCGAAACGCTCCGGTTGCAAGTCTTGCTCCGACGTTATTGATTGTGTCTAACATTTTTAGGGCGTTTTTATTAGCATTGATAATGAGGAACGCATTGTATTCGAGTTTAGATAAAATAAGGGATCTATGTATTATGGATAGAGTCGAAAACGATGCTCCCCAGCTTGTGTGGGCTAACATTTTCATTATGTTTATTCTAGATGAGCAGGCTTTTTTTAAGTTTTTTATATGGGGGATCCAGTTATTTTTTGAATCGAATGTAATTCCGAGTACTTTAGCTGTGTTATTATTGGGAATTAGATTATTATTCATATTAAGTTTTAATTTATTTTGTTTCCTTTTTCTTGTAAATACTATACATTGAGATTTGCTTGCCGAAAAATCGAATCCAGTCGTGAGAGACCATTCGTGGAGATTATTAAGTGTTTTTTGTAAATTTGATTGAACGGTACAAAGTTCTGTGCTTCTGCACAAAATATTAAAATCATCGGCATATAATGTGCATTTGACGGGGTAGGTTATTGATTTAGTTATATTGTTTATAGAAATGAGAAAAAGTGTGACGGATAATGTTGACCCCTGTGGCACGCCATTTTGTTGGTAGAAAGTGGATGATAACCGTTGATTGACTTTGACATGAAAAGTTCTATCTGACAGGACATTTTTAATAAAATTAAACAAGTTTCCCTTAGATAATATTTCTTTGAGGTACGAGATAATGTGCGGTCGCCAGGCGGTATCGTATGCCTTGGCTATATCAAGACATACCATTCCTAAAGTTTGATTATTCTGAAAGGAGTTTTCAATCTCAGATTGGATTTTCATTAATGAGAGGTATGTACCGCGCTGATGCCTGAAACCATTTTGGTCTGGGCTTAAGTCATTTATTTTTTCAATGAACCACACGAGTCTTAAATTGATTATTTTTTCCAAAAGTTTGCACATTGTGTTGAGTACGTCGGATCCCAAACGGCTCCCGTCTATTGTTCGCTTATTCCCAAACGGCTCCCGTCCAAAAAGGTCTAACGAACAGGTAAATTCCGAAACGGCTCCCGTCCAAAAAAAATTCTCAAATCTGTACACCATGTTCGTTCAAAATCCTTACCAAAATTACCAAAATCAACAGAAGAAGTTTAGACAAAATTAATATTACAACTTCGGCAAATTCAATACTACACACCCAAATATTTTTAAGATTATTGACATACTAATCAATATACAATCTGAAACGCAAATTAAAGCTCGAAGTTATTTTAATACACCAAGATCGAAAAAAGCAAGAGTTCGTCGAAAAAATCATTTGCGAGTTTTCATCAAATAAAATATCACGCCAAGACTATATAAAAAAATTGTGCTTAACAAATTTACCCGATATATTATGATTTTTTAATATTTTTATTTATACATTTTTTACATTTTTTATATATTTTTTTTAACGTTAAAAATTTTAAATTTAATATTATACTATACGCTTTTTTATATAATTTTAATAATTTACATAGTGTACACCAAGACATTTTTAACCACACCTCTTTTGAGAGAGTCCTAAGTCTGTATAAAGTGGGAGGTAATTTGCGGTGTACAAAACTGGAGCCGTTTAGGAATTGACCTGTTCGTTAGACTTTTTTAGACGGGAGCCGTTTAGGAATTGCCCTTTTTGTAAAACGGGAGCCGATTAGAGAAACGGGAGCCGAATGGGCTACGACCGTTGAGTAGTGAGATAAGGCGATATCCGGATGTACTGAATTTATCTTTTCCTTCTTTGGGTATGGGTATAATGGAGCTATGTTTCCAATTAGAGGGAATGATGCCGGAGCTCCATATTAAATTAAATATTTGTAATAGGTATGTTTTTGCATTCTTAGGTAAGTTATGGATAAAGGAAAAGGGTATGCCATCGGGTCCGGGACTTTTGCTGTTGCATTTCTGAAGTGCTATTTCGAATTCAGCGGGAGTTATTGCTGAGTTGATGAGTTTTTGATCGCTATTATTGTTCTGACATGTGTGCGTTGTGTCTGGACTATTTTTTTCTCCTTTATTTTTTCTGAGGAACTCTGAGTCATAATTTTCATCGCTACTGTTGTCAAAGAAGGAATTGGCTAATTTATCTGCAATGGCTTGGACGTCTGTGATAAGTTTGTTATTTTCTACTAGGAATATTTTTTTATCTCTGCTGATGCCTTTTAAGGAATGAATTTCGTTCCACGTTTTTTTTTTGGTCGGAATGTGTATTTATTTCGGAGACAAACGATTTCCATGATAGTCTTTTGTGTTTGTTAACTAGAAATCTGGTTTGAGCTCTTAGCTTTTCGAGAGCTATAAAGTCTGTGGGATCTTTGGTTGTCTGAAATTTTTTTAAGGCTTTCTTTTTTTTTTTTATTATTTCACTTATCTCTTTATTCCACCATGGGACACGGTGTTTTTGGAGGTTTAATATACATTCTCCGATTGATTTTTTGGCGGATGAGATTATAGTGTTTGTTATTAAAGTAACCATTAGTGTAGCGTTATCATTATTAAAATCTAACATGTTTGTATCCTCCTCAATTAAAGATGAAAATAAGGGCCAGTTGGGTTTTTTTAGGTTCCACATGTTGACTGAATTGTTTTCACGGTTTATCTTTTTTTTGACTGGGTCATAAACCTTAATTAGTATGGGAATGTGGTCGCTGCTGTATAAATGAGGAAGCACTTGCCAATCAAGTTGTTGAGCTAACGATGTGTTAGAGAAGGTTAGATCAATAGATGAGAAAAGACCATTTGCTAGGTTGAATCTGGTAGGATTTCCATTGTTGAGAATAACTAATCTGTCGTTTTCTAATAATTTTTCTATGATTTTTCCTCTGTCGTCCGTTTTTGCTGAGCCCCAGAGCTCGCTATGGCAATTAAAGTCGCCGGTTAAGATAAATGAGGAGGGAAGTTGCTGAATAATATTGTCTATTTCTTCAAGGATTAAATCTGTATGATTAGGTATATAAATATTGCATACGGTAATTGTATTATGTGTTAAGAATGAAGCAGCTACTGCTTCCAAATTGGTTACTATATGGACTTCTTCGCTGGGAATGGAGGTTTCAATGAATATGGCCACCCCACCAGAAGCACGAAGACAGTCATCCCTATTTTTGTTATAACAACGATAATTTTTTAAGTAAGGAGTATGATTTCCTTTGAAATTTGTTTCTTGGAGGCACAATACGTTAGGCATAAAATCCCGTATAATAAGTTCAAGTTCACTGTGCTTTTTCCAGAATCCGTTAAGGTTCCATTGGATTATGTTTATATTATGTGCGTTCATTATGTCAGAGGCCATATTGTTTGGGGGAGATTTATTTACAGGTTAATTTATGAGAGTTTATGGTAGCGGGAGGAATTTGAAAAGTAGGTTTGATGCTTTTGATAGTTTAGTTTTCATTGGACGCTCGGTGATTAAGTGGCGTATATTTTCCAGTAAATCGAACATGCTGGAAACGTTTGAATTAATCTCTTCACATAATGTGTGAATGTTTATTTTGTATTTCCAATGTTTTCCAAGAAAAATTTAAATTGTTCCATTGTAATTGAGGTGTTCTCGCTGTTGGCAAAAAAGGCGACAGCTGGCTTGAGCATAGAATCTATTTTGTTATCCTCCAAGGATGTGAGTGAATTGGATCTCGATTTAATTTTAGGTTTTTTCTTGTCAGGTTGAGGGATAGGCATTTTGTCTCCAGATATTGTTGGTGAGTTCGGAGATTTTGGAGTATTCGTGTCAGATAGAGGTCTTTTTAACAAACTGTATGTCGATGGTTCAATTAGGTTTTGTTCAGTGTTATCATGTGTTAGGAATGCTGAAGGGGTTTCATCATGGTTTTCCACACTCCAGTCCATGATGTTTTGGAGGGGGGTTGCATTTGTTGGGGGAAGTACTGGGTGATGTGTATCTTCTTTATACGTCGTATCATGTATTACAAGGTGTTGAGATGATTTAGTATTCTCTATAATAATAGTGACTTCTTTTTGAGGGTTCTCATGTATAAGTATGGAGTTGAGATTTTGCGGAGGTTGGGAGTTTAGATCGTTTAAAAATTCTTTTTACATGTGTTGGATGTATGCCCAGTAGATTTACATGTATAACAGGTTATTGAATCATCCGTAAGGAATATTCGAAATAGGGAACCGTTTGAATTAATTATTAGTGTTCCAGGGAGTTTAGGTATATCTTCGTGATTTATGTACATCTGTCTTCTGAAGCTAAGTATATGTTCATATCCTTCGATATTTAACCAGGCTTTCAAATAATTTATTTGAGATGTGGGAGTGATATCAATGCCTTTAAGCACATTAAGTATTTCTTGGTTTGATATAGAGGGACAAACGTTAGAGATAATTATTCTTTTTGCTGGGTTAATTAATCTGCGGATATGGATTTCTTGATTATTTATTGTTATTGATTTAATTTTTTCCATTAATGCGTCTAGTGTACTTTTGTTTGATAGAAATATGCAAAAACGATTGTTGGATATTCTGGATACGAATATTATGTTTTTTGGAGATACAATTTGTACTATGGCTAAAACATAATCTTTTTGAGGAACCCCATCTATGGAGTTGAAAACTAGTGCTTGGTCTCTTTTAGGTGTAATACAATTAGCAGTTATTGAGGCGAAATTTCTGTAAGTGAGATTTGATGGCGTAATGATTGTTTGGGTTTGGTGTGTGTTATTACTTATATATTGTCCGTCTTGGTTGCTTATAGACGTAGTGGAGGTTACATTGGAACAGGTAGAGATCGCAGTACTGGGTACGGCGGTGGCGACGGCGTGTTGTTGATTAGGTGTGGCGACGGGGGAGAAGAGGAGGTCGTTTTATGGCTGGCAGCGAGACGGGCGTTATGTTTGTTGTTAATGACCGTTTGTCTTGGAGTAGATATATTGCTGTGTGAGTTTATTTTTGGTGATTTAATTGGCGTCGGGATTTGAGGTTTTGGTGATGAAGTATTAGTCTGACTTCGATTGTTCATAGTGTTTGGTGAAGTGTTAGTGAAGGTTTTTTTGGAAGAAGTTGATGTGTCAGGCGTTTTGCCTGTTGGCTTTTTAGAATGCATTACAGGTCCTACGGTATTAATTAAAAATGTCCATATTACCTGTACTGCTGCGAAACTACTAAAGCTTATCGGGAGCTGATAAAACGCACAGGCGACACACGTGTTTCACTATCGGAGGTCAAACACGTACTGGACATTATGATTTATCTTGTATTATAATTTATTATTTATAATCCTGTTGTTTAAAAAATTTAAATATTTTATAAAATCATATTTAATTTACTATATTAGATTCTGAGCGGAGCGAGGAAGCTAGTGGTTTTACAATGGTGTTTATTTATTTATTTATTTTTTTTTATATCATGTATACAACATTTCTACCGGAAGGAGTGCTTTGATTTTAACATATAGTACCTTATCTTTTATCAAATTTGATCAAGATGGTACGTTAAAGAGGTCATTTTTCGATTTTATCAATAGTTATTTAATGCCACTGGAAAAACGGGCGAATGTAAGTTCCCACACGAGATATAGCAGGTAAAAATTACCCCTGGATACATACGTAAGTTCCCACACGGAAAAAATTACACTTGTACGTAAGTTCCCACACGAAATTTCAGACACATAATAATGTTTATATAAATTGCTTATAATTTTAACTTTTAATTCATTATTGCTCAGCCTTGCCAAACACAAACTTCCTTCCCACTTTATTCAGACTTAGGACTGACAACTTAAATGTAGTTGGTGTGGTTAAAATTTGTTTTGTTTTTGTATTGCATAAAAAAAAGTCCAATTGAATCTAGTCCGTATAATATATAATAAAAATTAATAATATACCTAATGTGTATAATATTTGTATATGTATAAAATAAAAATAATAATAGAAAAAATTAAATTTTATTAGGTTTATTGCGATAGCTCAAACACTATATTGTAAAGTGTTATTAGATCAAACAAAATGTGATTTTTTCTATTATTATTATTTATTTTATAGGTACCTATACAAATAATGTGTGGAAGAAGAAAAACAAAATAAAATATCAGATTGACTATGTGACTTTTGACTATGTGAAGTGTTTGAGCTTTCGAAATAAACCAAATAAAATTTGATTTTTTTCTATTATTATTATTATTTTATACCTAAAAATATTTCGTTTAAGTTGTCATTCCTAAGTCTTACTAACTTAACTTACGTAAAGGTGTAATTTTTTCCGTGTGGGAACTTACATATGTACTCGCTTACCTGCTATGTTTCGTGTGGGAACTTACCAAACCCCGGAAAAACCACCAAAGAACCAGTATAACCATAGAAACGAATAAAAAATTATAATATTATAATATTAATTCAACTTACATGATATAATAAATAATAACAATATAAAATATCCAGACTTACAAACCGTCTCCGCTCAGAATCGTTTTCTTATACAATGATATTTTATCATTGAATTCAAGTTAAGTACAATCCATTATACAATGATCCACTTGTAATCTACTGTACAGTAGAGCGACATCCACTTACCCGCTGTTTTTGCTTTTAAGTTACATTTTAAAATTTTTAAAGCTTTTTTGGAAGATTTGGACAGCTTTGTTACTTTTTTTTAGTGATTTTCTTTAGTTTCTTATTGCTGTAAAATCCGTACTTTATTCATAACTACGTGAAGACAGCTAGGTTTAGTATTTTTATTTTTATTAATTAACATACTACAACATAGGCCATTGGGTGTTGTACGGTTGGTACAGTAGGGTTGGGATTGTTGGTACGGTCGGTTAGGAACAATACGTGTATGTGTGGCAATAGTTTTTTGCGAGCTACGAACCCGGGTGGTCAGTGGTCACCCATCCGAGTACTAGGGGGCAGCGGTCGTTGCTTACTCTCAAACACGTCGTGGGATTATTTCAGCCATTGCGCCGCGCCGAGCCACATTTACAATTTTATTTTACCATTAAAAACGACATTATTCCTAATACATTTTGTATAATCAATAAAAAATTTTGGCAACCGAAAAAATGGAGACCGTCGACAGCTGAGCTTCACTTGTTAGTTGTTACAATGTAAATTATAATATGTTTAGGAATTCCTTATCTAGTGTAGTATAGAACTCTGTGTTATACAATCGCCGTACGCCAGACACCGGCACCAATAACCGGTAGTGGGTGGATATGCACGGACAAGACGAGTTTTCGTCTGCCTCTCCACCCCCTGTGTACTCTTAAACTGAATAGAATGTAGCTATTAGGAGAGTATCTTTAAAAGTGTGTACGTAATGATTATGTCTTATAGTAATTTGTTTTGTAAGAGTGTATAAAATATACTATATACTATATATTTAACTGTATTATGTAGCTTATATTACTATTTGTCATTACTATTATTATTTGTCATTACTATTATCATTGTGTTATTATTACCGTGTATACACACAAAATATTGTTAAGGACTTAAGTCCGTTTATATTTAAAATAAAATAAAATAAAATAAAATACCAAATTATTGTAACAGTTTTACAAAGTCATTAAAATATAGAAACCACAAGGCATAAATAGTTATTTTATAATTAAGAAACCGTGAGACTGCGAGAGTACCATTTATTAGACCAATAACACTACACCGGATACTATAAAGATAAAGATAAAATATCACTAAATACCTATTTAATAAATCAATCTATTGGTCTTTAAAACAAATTTTAGTGGCACATAGCCACCCTTAAATCATTAAATGAATCAATTGTTTTTGGTACTCAACTAAAGTTTTATAACTTTTTATAATTTCATAGAATTGATAACCAAGTATACTCATTATATAGGTAAGTTGAATATTATACAGTATTAGTTATATAGTTATATAGAAAATTAAACTAGTATTAGTATTTAGTAAGCTCCAAGCCGTTAATTGTAATTAACAGATAAGTAATATTATAGTTATTAAGGAAGTAGGAACATTTTTTTTTTTGAAGTACCTATACCTATAAGACGTAATTGTCAAAATAGGTAAAGTTAAGCTATTTTAATTTAACATAATATTTCCATTTTGCATAACACAAAAAAATACTTATGAATACATTTATTATTTGAAATATATTTAGTATTTTTCAGATCAATTTTTTTTTATATTCAGTATAAAAAAAAAAAATTGAAAAATATTAATTAGAACAGAAGTTATGTTTTGTCAGGTCTATCTGTTGAAAGAAATATAATAAAATGTATACAGAATAGATCTATATATATAATATTTATCTTACCAAAATGTCTTTACAAAATATTGAAAACAAATTAAACCCTATTTTACGTATCCTCGCATCCAAACAACACTCTCTCTACCTGTAACGAAATTCCAAACGTACCACTGTAACAATCTAAAAAAACAATAAGTAATGTCTTATTGTATAAATATATCTAGCTAATATCGTTTATCATAAAAAAAATTCGGCATTCTCCAAATAATAGAAGGTGTCCTATCCCTTATAGTACTGTTATACCGACCTATAAAATGTCCTATAAAATATCAATACCCACCCACTCATGTTTAAAGTATTTTCAGGGGGGAGCAGGACTCCTGGACCCCTCCCCAGTTATGGCCTTCGTACAATTATATGTCCCTCTATCAATTGTGAAATGATAATGGTTTCTTTTATAAGTTAACCCCCTACAATTACATTGTGCTTGACAGTTATGTCACAAAAGTTACACTGAATAATGCTGTGTTGTAGGTATTATACTAAATTATAGTATAATATACAACTATAGTCTATAATAATACAATTTCAGATAAGTCGAGCGATTTTCAGTATTACTATCAATATCGTCAAAATTATGGTATGTGTTAAAAACTTAATAATTAAAATAATTTTAAATATCAAATATCGTGGGCCGCAACTGTATACTTTTGTCTTTTATACTGCCTAATTAAGAAAAAATATACTTCCAGAAGTCCAATGTTAATTTAAAAAAAGTATTTGAATTTGTTCGCTTTTTGTCCGTGTTTTGCAAGAAATTAATGCGACAAATCGAAAATCCATCTTCTACTTAACCTAGAAAATAGAAATAAGGAATTCAAATATGTTTTCAAAATTAAAATCGGGTTTTTGGTTTATAATCAATATAAAGAGTTTGGGGAACTCACTCAAACTAATTTACAGTCACTACACACGTCATACTCACAGTCCCAAGCACTATCAGTACTCACGAATAACGATGGATAAAGAATACTGCCTAAATCCGACCCCTTAAAAATTGATCGCTTGGATTATATGGAGCAAATGCTTCGAATTTCTGCTTAATCATTTTTTTTGGTAGAAAATTGGTAAATTGATAGGTATTAAAAGTAAAAAACTCCTAATGGTTTTTAAAAGCGCCGGGAAATAAGAAAAAAAATATAAGAAATACCAAAAACTTGTTTGCAAAACTAGTTTTTGACAAAACGTATATTTTGTTTTTGGCTGGAACTCAAAAATGAATAGTTATATAAATGTAGATAGTTTAAATTTTCACCAAACGTTAATTTTATCATTTTCAAAATATTTTGATTATATTTGAGCTTCAAATTAAAAAAAAATGTCAAGTCTTATTTCTTTAAATATAGACGAAAAGAATATTTGCTATGTCAAAAAGCTTGACAATTGAATACAATGTTTTTTAATTATTCGTAATAATAGCAGTTAAATAAAAAATAGTCACATTTAAAGTTCAAATTTTATTGATTCATAATATTTTCGGGGGTAGGTATTTGAAACCTTTTAAGTACATATACTATTATATTTTATACACAGAATGAAAGTTTCAAATGCAAATTTTACAGTAAAAATTAACCCAACCTATTGTATTAGGTACTAATGGCTAATATAAAAAAAATGCTTTAATAATACATTCATACCTAGTAATAATATTTTTATAAAATATATTTAGTAATTCAAAATAGATTTTGAAGGGGGATCAAAAATTAAAACTCTGTACTTGGTATTATTATAAATTATTTAAATATTTATTTGTAAATGATTTATATGAGAGTTTATTGATCTCATCCAAAATAAAAACATAATCAATTATACTTGTTG